AAGGCGTGCGCCACCACCGCCCGGCTATACTATTTTTTAAATTGATTTTTAAAAATATTTATTTATTCTTATTTTATGTATATTGATATTTTGCCTGTGTGAGGGTGTCAGATCTTGGAGTTACAGACAGTTGTGAGCCGCCATGTGGGTGCTGGGGATTGAACCTGGGTCCTCTGGAAGAGCAGTCAGTGCTCTTAACTGCTGAGCCATCTCTCCAGCCCCGTGACTATTAAAGCAGTTTTTAACGGTTGCTCTTGCAGAGGCCCCAGCACCCCCACATCAGGTGGCTCACAACCACCTGTATCTCCAGCTCCATGGGGTCGTATCCCTTCTGGACTCCCAGGCTCCTGTATGCATGGAGTGCACATAAACTCATGCAGATATTAATAAAAATAATAACTTTTTTCAAAAGGTGCAGAGCAATGGAGAAAGACACTGGACATTAACCTTGGAGGCACACATGCATGTGCACACACACACCACCACCATACCACACCACCACCATCACCACCACTACCTACTACTACCACCAGACAACAAAGAGAAACACAAAACAAAAAACAATGAAGATAAACCACAAAGATCCCGCCCCTATGAAAACGGCCTGCCAGTATAGGAGGGAGATTAAAAAGGGGCTGACAGGGCTGAAGAAATGGTCCAGTGGTTAAGGACACTGGCTGCTCTTCCAGGCGACCAAGCTTTGATTTCCACCACCCACATAGTAACTCCATTTCCAGGGGCTCCAACATCCTCCTGTGGCTTCTGTGGACACTGAATGCACATGGTCCATACACATACATGTCGGCAAAATACCCATACACATAAAAATAAATAAATCTTAAATAAAACAAAAGTAGTGACCGGGTGCTGCATGATAATACGGCCTGTGACAGAGAAAGAAGTGTAAACGGGGTGGTGACATTTGAGCAAGACTCAGGAGAGGTGAGGGAGCCAGGCCTGGTGGCACAGGCTGGTAATTCTAGCTACTGGGAAGCTGAGGCAGGAGGATAGCAAGTCCAGGGCCAGCCTGGGCAACTTTGTGAGACCCAGTGTCAAAATTTAAGAGTGGGAAGAGAGTTAGGATCTAGTCAAGGACAGAGTGCTTGCCTATGTGTGAGACTTTGGGTTTAACATCTAGTATGCATACACACACACACACACACACACACACACACACACACACACACACACACACACGGGAAGCAATCTGCCCCAAGGATATATGGTGGAAAGCACTTTGGACAGGTGGAACAGAAGGCCAGAGCCCGAGGCAAGAGTGTACCCCTTGTAGGTGAAGGCCAGGGGGACTCAGACGGCGGGGGTGGGGATAATAAGGATCACCGGGAGGACTTGGTCACCACCGAGAGGGTGAAGCTGAGTGGCGACTACAGTCTCGGTCATTCCGTTTGCACAAGGCGGTGGTGGAATTTAGTGTGTGAGGATCAGGCCTGGTACGGCTGGCACACACTAACGGCTGCTGATAGCAGCTGCACACACTGTACCCCGACTCGCCTTTCGCTCTCAGGTTCCACGGCAACCCAGAGACCTCTGTGTCGGCTTGCAAGTTTCCCGAGTGTTTACATCCAGCCTAGGCTGGCCCTCACTCCTAGCCTAGACCCCCTTGTCTTTTTCTGGATTTTGCTCTTCACGCCCCTGAGGCCTGGGAGGGCCCAGAACTTCAGGGACTCAAGGGTGTGGGTCTTGTGGCCTCGGGTGTTTGTGTAGGGTAGGTTTAGGACAGGCAGGGGGCGACCCCGAGCACTGCCTCCTGATCAGATCTTCCTGAGAGGGGGCAACGGTGGGTGTCCTGTCAGGAAAACAGGCAACGCTCTGAGCCCTGTGTGGAGGTGGGGGCACTGAGTGGCAGGAGAGCCAACCTGAAGGATACTTTTTCTCCACAGTTCTGGTGGCCACACCATGGGGACGACGGACTTTGAGTTGCAGAGTGATCTAACCTTATACACGAGGCCAGTTTCTCATTTACAGCTGGGGAAACTGAGGCACGGGGAGACAGTCACCTGCTCCAGTCACTCAGTCAACATGGGGCCCCAAACAACCCAGCACCAGGGACCTCCACTTGTGTGCACTGCACGCCTGCCATACAGGAGGCATCTAATAATTGCACCGTGTGCTTACTGGATGAGCCAAGGCCTACGACACCTGCTTTGCATGCCTTGCATTATCCTCAAGATGACTTTGGGAGGTTTGCACTGTCATGGTCTCCATGGAGCAGACTGAGACAACGAGGCCCAGAGAAGGCAAGAATTTGCCCGAGATCACACAGCTGCTAGCAGTAGCTTCTGAACGCAACCGACAGGAACGGGGTGTGTTCCTTGAAGGAAAACAGGCGACATTGCTTGGGGGCTCAGTCAGGAAGCGGAGGTGGCAGGAGAGCCGGCATCCTGATAGGCACATGCGCAAGGCACTGCTCTGAGTGATTTTCATACATCGATGCCATGAAATATAGTCTAATTTTAGTTGAGACACCTGAAGCACAGAGAGGTCAAGTGACCTGCCTCAGGTCACACAGCTAGATAGAGCTCCAAAAATCTGTGCTCCACGCCTCTATCCTGGATGACAGTCTCCTCTAGATGGATGTGCCCCCTGATGCCGCTGCGGGGGGTGTGTGTCTGAGATGCAGAGAGGGCATGGAGGGTGACGGGTCCCAAGCCTCCTATTTTTTTTTTTTTTTTTGTCATCCCAGCAGTGCCAGGCAGAATGGAGCGTGTGTCCGAGCTCCGGCTTCATTAGTCAGCATCTGCCTTTTCTAAGGGAGCCAGGGCCAAGTGGGGTCAGGGCGGAGAGAAGGGATGAGGCAGACAGGAACCCTTGCCCGGGCCTTCCTCCATCCCTGCCGGGTCCGAGGCTGCCAACGCAGCTCTTGGGCTCAGTCTGCTGCAATGCAGACGCCTCGGGGAGCGTGAGTGGGTGAGCTCTACTCGGAGCCCAAGAAGGGAAGCTCCTGGCCCGGCGCCACCCCAGGCTTCCTGCCAAGGCAGCGCTGGCTTCGCCAGGCCTGCCAGGCACCCAGCTGCTGCTTTCTCGGGGTGAGCACCAGGGGTCCCTGGCCCCTAGGAAGAGGCCAGGGGTGAGACAGAAGACCGGCCAGAGATGGGCGGCTAGCCTGAAGCCCAGGAGCTAGCTAGCACCCCCACCTCCGGCTGTCAGCCTCTGGAGAGTCCTCCCCGACACCCCAACAGCCCAAGTAGCCGGCTGCCCACCTAGGAGCCCCATGTGCCCGTGTCCACGGGGAAGAACATTCCAGATGTTAACCCCACGGGCTAGCTGAAGCACTTTGGCAGATGCTTCAAAAATGAAGCCTGGGAAAGGAAGAGGCGGAGGTTTATAGGGGTCTTCCAAGGCAAAGCACCCATGGTACCTAGGTACCCTGGGTCTCGGGAGCTCCATCCATCCACTCCAAGCTCCCGGGGAGCAGAATCCAACTCAGGGCAGAGCAGGGGATGGCCCTGGGGTGGGGGCGAGGTGGCAGCTCACTGTGCTGTTAAATCATCTTTTACAGAGCAGAATGAAGTGGAGAAGGACCACAGTCAGACTGTAAAGGCTGGAAACTGAGGACAGGGAGGCTGCTGCTGGGGACCACATGCCTATCCTCCATCGGCCTGGACTCTGAGGACACACAGCTAGGTAGAACTGGAGGGCAAACTGTGGGCACACAGGTGATGTGCATGGCCCGAGAGACAAGGGCAAGATGGTGGCCAGAGGCAGAGCAGGCCTTGCTGGGGAGCTGGGAAGGGTCCCGGGAAGACAGGGCACGGCACAGGACTGGCAAGTGACCCCAGCCCCAGAGGGTTGTGTTTTATTTTGGTGCTGAGGGTAGGTAGAACTCAGGTCCTCACTGAGCTACATCCCAAGCACAGGGGATCTCGGAGGAGCCTTTTTCTTCCCAGTAGAGGAGATCGCCTCCAGCTGTCAGTGTGGACGAGGGTGGTCAGGAGCAGCCAGGAGAGAACTAACTATCATTCCAATCACAATCGCTATCCCTCTTGGGTTTTCCCTGGTGCCTGAACCTCCCAGCTCTGCGACCCAATGCCCTGGGAGGCTCACAGTCACCCAGCCCATCACAGCTCGAGGGAAGCCCAGACTTTACCCTCCGCTGGAGGAGGAGGAGGAAAGGCGCTCCCTCCCAGTCTCATTAGGAACGGCAGGGAAAGGTCCTGCCTCAGGTGGCTCCCGTTCACCCCGCACTCTGAAAGGCTTGTCACCCCGCCCAGGGCCCAGCCCCAGGGAGACCTGCCGTCGCTGCTCTCGGGGTACTGAATGCCCTAGTTGCTCTGGGGGGGTCTCTGGAGAACGGGACACACCCAGGCTGGGTCCACATGGCTCCATCCTGACTCCCGCCCGTCCTTGCTGGACCCCCACCACCACCACCACCATCACATCCCCACTGCTGTGGCTGGCGGGCACTCCGTCGGGCGATGCCAGGTGGCCTCGGGGAACCTGGCTGGCAAACCAAGGAGCTTCTGACACCTGTCCCCACGCCGTCTGCGGCAGGGGCATGGAGGCCACCCCTTCTCCAGGGGGGTGGGGCGGAGGAGGAGGGCAGGGAGGCGTCAGCCACGCTCGCTCGCTCGCTGGCTCGCAGCGATCTCAGTTAACGCAGGCCGGCGAGGGGGAGCCCCTGGGAACCGCACAGGCCCGCTCGCCGGCAGGGAAGGCTCGGCCCAGGCCGGGCCTGGCGCTCGCAGCCCTTCAGAGGTCGCCACCGGCTCCACGCCGGGCCACGGGCCTCCAAGGGGTCTCCTCTAAACGCTCCTCACAGGGAACCTACTACAGACAGCGTCGCAGAAGGGTCAAAAACAGCCCGGTTCCCGCGGCGGCGGGCGAGCGCCGCAGAGCTGCGGACGGCCCTTACCTGCCACCAGGTGAACCGTGGGAAGGGGACGCGCCGTGGCCAGGACACAGGATCCCGCCTCTCACCGAGCCCGCGCCGCGCAGCGGTCCGCTCCGCACGCCGCCCGCCGAAGGCGCTGCGCAGCGACAAGGTCGGAGCCCAGCCCCGCCGCCCGCGGACCGGCGGGCGGGCGGGCGGTGCCGGGGGGGGCGGAGTCTCAGAGAACTGGGCGGGACATCCTGGGGGTGGGGTGGGGCCTCTGAGACAGCAGCCGGCGAGGCCTCCCCCCGGGTGGGCGGGGCCTCAAGGAAAGTGGGAGGGACATCCTGGACAGGGCGGGGCCTCGGGGGAGTGGTGAGAGGGGAGTCCTCAGAAAGGACAGGGCCGGGGCGGAGTCTCCAGAACAGGGCGGGACCTCCGAGGAAAGGGGCGGGAAGAGCCCGCCCAGTGGGGGCGGAGCCCCAAGGGGGAGTGGGCGGGACGTTCTGAGGACGGGGACGGAGCCTTCAGGATGGGGCGGAGCTTTCGGGACAAGATGCTGGCGGACCCTCCTGGTGGAGGTGGAGTCTCAGGGGAAGTAGGCGGGCCGTCCAAAGTGGGTGGGTCTTTAGAGGAAGTGGGCGGGTCACCATGGGAGGCTGGAGTGGGCGGGTCCTCTGCCATGGGGTGGGGCTTCTGTGGCCAGGGGCTGTTCGGCGTCTCCTGGACGGAACCTCCTGAGCTCACAGCTTCAGCACCTGCAGCAAACCCGGCTCCTACCTGGCTTCAGGTCCTGAGTGCTCGATGCTCTGCACCTGGACCAGGCCTCGGCGCATACTCAACAGAAGTACTCTTTGATGTTTTGTTTTTTTTCCTGCCAGCCCTGGGGGATAGGGTGGGGTTATGAGCCTCATTTCTTCACTTATCCATCCATAAGTCTTTGTCAAGCACCTACTGCATACATACCCTTTGCCATTCTCAGCATGTGAGAGCCGGGCATAGCTTTATGCCATCTGTAGTCCCAGATACTGGGAAGGCTGAGAAAGGAGAATCATTTCAGGGGAGGAGCTCAGGGCCAGCCTGGGCAAAAAGACACTTTCTCCCTCCCTCCCCCCTCCCGGTCTCTCTCCCTTCCTCTCTTCCTCCCTCTTTGAGACAGGGTTTCTCTGTGTAGCTTTGGTGCCTGTCCTGGATCTTGCTCTGTAGAACAGGCTGGTCTCGAACTCACAAAGATCCTCCTGGCTTTGCCTCCCGAGTGCTGGGATTAAAGGCGTGCGCCACCGCCGCGGCCACCTGGCAAGACCCTGTCTCTTAAGAAGAATAAGACATGTGAGACCCAACGGGACGCAGTCAAGATCTCTGCCCTTCTGGAGGCACAGTCTAGTGATGGAACCAGACAATACATGTGAGAAGTAGATTGTAGATATTAGAAGGGAGCACATTCTGTGGGGAATAATAGTTTACGGACAGTGCCCGGTAGTCTCATCAACTTGACACAAACTAGAGTCATCTGGGAACTTCAGCTGAGGAACTGCCTCCATCAGACTGGCCTCCTGATGTGGGTGGGCAGCCCACTGTGGGTTCTGGAGGCTGTAATAAAAACGGGCCGAGCAAACCATGGAGAGAGAGAGCCAGTAAGCAGCACTCCTCCACAGCCTCTGCTTCCAGATTCCTGCCTTGAGTTCCTGCCCTGACTTCCCTTCACGATGGACTGTAGCTGTAAGCTGAAGTAATCCCTCCTTCTCAAGTAGCCTTTGGTCAGAGTGTTTTATGGCAGCAATAGAAACCCTAACTCGAACATGAACTATGCTCTGAGTGATTGCTGGGCAGTAGGAATATTGCAGTGTGGGAAACAGACAGAGCAGAGGAGGCAGGAAATCCACCAGGAAAATATGGAAGAAAATGACAGGTAGCTTTAAGTGCAATAAAGAGACCAGGGCTCATGTTGCTCAGTGGCAGGGTACTTACTTAGTTAACATGCATGAGGCCCCAGGTTCCTGCACCAGTATTGCAAAAACAAAATAAAATAAAACCCAGTGACGGGGTTGCATTGGCTCAGGACAACCTTAACAGGGAAGGCCTCTAGGAAAAGAGAAAGATAAGGAGTAAGTAAGCCATGAGAGAATGGGGGTGTATTCTAGGATCCGGGGATTGCAAGTTCAGTAGATCTGAGTAGGATCTAGTCGGGCCATTCCAGGAATAGAAAGGGTCCGTGTGGTTTGATTTGTGGGATCTAAGTGGGCAGTGAGCTTAGGGTCCAAAGAGATCTTCCCACATCCACCCGTTCTCACGCAGAGACCTCAACTGCTTTCTGAACTGAAAATGACCTCTGCTGGTCTCACGGGACAGTCTCCAGGGAGGGGGATTGGGAATTCAAATTTTAAAGTTGCTGTTATCTCTGTTTTGCTTTGTTTTTTGTTTGTGTGGTTTGGTTTTTTGATTTTTTTTTTTTTTTGGTCCAGTAGAAATTCCTTCTACTGGTAGATTCATGGAAAGGAGCTAAGATCCAGTTGACAAACAGCTACAATTGCAAGGTGTTGGAGATGCCTGTCCACAGGGAACTGGACCGATAATTAGACAGTCATCCATCAGCAGAACACTAGGAACAGGGAGGAAACACGCATGTGCAGAATTTCTGGTTCCACTACCCGCATCCAGTGAGTGAAGATCAGCAACTTTGTCTGCTTGTGTTAAAAGCAAAGGCGAGCAGATACTTGTTCTTGAAGAGAGTGTCTTGCATGGATGGTTCTAAATGCTTGAGTGACCCAGCCAGGTCCACTTCCTGTTCACTGTGTGACCCCAGGGAAATGACTCTGAGCCCGTTTTTTATATCGGAGAGAAAGTGTGCTAGGCACGGCAGTACTGTGCGAGAAGTACTGAGTACCGTGGGCTAGGTACTGCAGGACTGTGCGAGAAGTACTGAGTACCCTGGGCTAGGCACTGCAGTACTGTGTGAGAAGTACTGAGTACCCTGGGCTAGGCACTGCAGTACTGTGTGAGTCCGATGTGGCAAGGCCTGCCAGGACCAGCCCCTACATGTTGTATAGCAGTTTCCTCCAGTTTAAGAATTCCCATCAAATGGAGAAACAAGACACAGGGCGTTTACGGGGAGCGGACATACTCCATCCGGCAGGGAAGCCTGTTAAGCTCAGGAAGGAAACAACTCAAAATTGCTAAGGAAGTTCCTGAAACTGATCAGATGCACTAAGCCCTGCCCTTCCCAAGAGAATATCAGCTGTAAAGACTACCGAGAGTGACTCTCAGACCTTCAGATACCTAGAAGGGCTGAGACCGGCAGAGCTGCCTGGAAGACACAGAGACCCACTGAGCTGCCTGCAAAGGACACTCCAACCTGCGGAACTGCCTGCAGGCTGTCAGGGAGCTCAAGCTTTTGTGAGCTGTCACCCATGCTTGGGGGGGCAGGGCTTAAACGATGCAGCTGGTACTTCTGTCATTTGAGCCATTTCTGTCCCCGGAAGGAACCCCAATAAAACTCACTGCTTCCCCACGTCGGACCTTGGTGGTTCCTGCACTTCGGTTTCCTGTCTGGAGTGAGCAGACCATTTGAGTAGACATTACGTCACATCTCCCCAGGAATAGTGTCACACAGCAGTGGCGCACAGTAAACACTAATGGGAGCAGGGCTGAATCACTCTCGGAAGAGTGGGATGGCTCTGGACCTTGATGCTCCTAATCATACCAAAAAACCTCAGCAAGAACTGTGGGGGCCATGGAGATGTCTCAGAGGCTGCTTTCCAAGCCGGGGGCCGAGTTCAGTCCTTGGGACTCGCGGTGGTGGGAAAATGGACTGCAGCAAGTTGTCATCTGACCTCTACCTTCACACACACACACACACACACACACACACGCACACGCACACGCACACGCACACGCACACGCACACACACATACACAGGAAAACACACACAAAATAAATAAGTAAAAATGCAATAAAAAGAATTTGTAAAAATGATGGTAGGAAGTTGGGCTGTGGTGGCTCACGTCTTTAATGCCAGCACAGAGGCAGATCTCTGTGAGTTCGAGGCCAGCCTAGTCTACAGAGCGAGATCCAGTACAGGCTCCAAAGCTACACAGAGAAACCCTGTCTTGAGAAACAACAACAACAACAAATGCTAGATTTTACCTTCCTGAGCCCATTCCTCTGTTGGAAAGCGACCATAGTGCCTCTTTCCCCCACCACCCCCTTTTAAAAAAGATGTTTTATTTTACGTGTGTAAGGATTTTTCCTGCATTCATATCTGTTCACCACTTGTGTGCAGGTACCCAGGAAGACCAGGAAAAGGCATCAGATCCCCGGGAAGTGGAGATACAGATGGTTGTGAGCCGCCATGTGGGTGCAGGGAACAGAGCCTTGTTCCTTTGGAAGAACATAGCCACCAAGGACCCATGTTTCCTCTTTAAGTAGCGACTTTATTGAGATACACTTCATGCACAATAGCATTCACTCATTTACAGGGAAATTCAGTGAGGTTTTCTTTTTGACCTTTCAGGTCAGCCTAGCTGTGCTGTGAGTCACGCTGTGTGTATCTTCTGTGGCCTCTTTTTCTCTTGTTCAGTCGCCACGTCTGCACAGACATCTCCAGCAGTTTGGTTTGTTTGTGTTTTGAGAAGTGTAGCCCTAGCTGTCTTGGAACTCACTCTGTAGACCAGGCTGGCCTTGAACTCACAAAGAACCACCTGCCTCTGTCTCCTGAGTGTTGGGATCAAAGGTGTGCGCCACCACCGCCCGGCCCTGTCTTCTCTCAATTCTTATTCCTTCCTCTTTTGACTTAAAATATTTGTGTGTGTGTGTGTGTGTGTGTGTGTGTGTGTGTGTGTGTGTGTGTGAGAGAGAGAGAGAGAGAGAGAGAGAGAGAGAGACAGAGACAGAGACAGAGAGAGACAGAGACAGAGAGAGACAGAGACAGAGACGTGTACCCAAGCACAGTGCCCAAGGAGGCCAAAAGAGAGCATGAGATCTCCTGAGCTGAAGTTACAGGTGGTTGTGAGCGGCCCAATGTGGGCGCTGGGAACAACACCTGGGTCTTCTGCAAGAGCAGTCAGTGCTCTTAACTTCAGAGCCATCCCTCCAGCTCCAGCTCTTTCCTTTTTAATTTTACAGGATGGGTGTTTTGCCTGCGTGTGTATCTGTGCACCATGTGCAGGCCCCATGTCTGCCGAGGCCAGAAGGGGGCACTGGATCCCCCGGAAGTGGAGTTACAGATGGCTGTGAGCCGCCATGTGTGTGATCGGAACCAAACCTGGGTCCTGTGGAAGAGCAGCCGGTGCTCTTAACTGTTGGGCCATCTCTCCAGGCTCATGGGTTTACTACTTAATCATAACTTTCCATAACCTTAACAATGGCTGGAATCTGTGGATCATCACAGGGTCCCACTTTCCCCACCCCGAGTTTTCTTTTCAAAGTCCATTTAATACTTAATCTTTATCATCACCTACCCTGGTTATCCTTCCCACTCCTAATCTTATTAATTAAAATCACAGGGTATTCCACACTGTCCTTGGTTATGTATCCTCCAATAGTTATTGAGGTCAAAGAGGCCTCTGTGATTAATTGGCGACGGTGACATTTGCTTAGTGGAAAACCAAACAGCTGTGGTTGCTCTCTGAGTTAATATCCTACCCAGGGAATAAAATAAAGCTTACACCCGGCACCCGGAGCTCCTGGAGTGAGTAATTATTTTCTGAACCACATACACAACACTGTCACATTCAAGTCCCTCTTGAACGCAGCAAACACTTCAACAGATAGAATATAGCTTATAAAAAAGTAAAGAAACCAAAAATATATATATAATATAAAATAAAATAAAGCAAGCAATGAAATGATACTGTTTGTGTAAATCCTAACACAGTAACATAAGAAACAGGAAACGTGGCTGGATTGCACTGACTGCTCCTCCAGAGGTCCCGAGTTCAATTCCCAGCAACCACATGATGGTTCACAACCATCCGTAATGAGATCTGGCGCCCTCTTCTGTCCTGCAGGGACACATGCAGGCAGAACACTGTATACATAATAAATAAATAAATCTTAAAAAAAAAAAAAAAGGAAAAAGAAACAGGAAACACCACGACAATATAACTCCTCCCCCCAAAAATTAATCCTAGAATAATGACATCTAGGGAGAGTGAGTTAGATGAAATCCCAGAGAGAGAGCTCAAAATAGTGACAGAGATCTCCAAGGATAAGACAAGCAACTGAATGAAATGAAGTAGGCAGTGGATGAAGTGAAAGAGGAACAAAGAGAAAGAAATGCTAGAAATAGGAAATGCTGGGGGAGAAAAACTATGTGGGGAGTCTCAGCAACAGGGTCAACGAGAAGAGAGAGTATCTGAACCTGAAGACAGTGGAGGAAACGGAACAATCCAACAAGGACAAAACCCAAACAGTGATAAGGGAACAGTGGGGATTTAAGATGTACGTGACCCTCTGCAAAGACTAAATGTATGGGTTGTAGGCACAGAAGGAGAATCTCTTTTTTCCAAGACAGGGTTTCTCTGTGTACCTTTGTGCCTTTCCTGGAACTCACTCTGTAGCCCAGGCTGGCCTCGAACTCACAGAGATCCACCTGCCTCTGCCTCCCCAGTGCTGGGATTAAAGGCATGAGCCACCATTTCCCGGCCTAGAATCTTGTTCAAAAGACACAGAAAACATTGTCAAAATAATCGTCACAGTTTCCCAGAGGTAGGAAAATCTCCCAGTGATGGACGCCAAGCAGACGGGACCAGAGAAGAACCTGCCCTTATACTGTAATAAAGCACCACACGCACAGAACCAAGAAAATACATTGAAAGCATAAAGTGAGAAACATCAGGTCGCATGGTAAAGGCCGGCCATCAGATTGGTCCTCTGAAACTTCAAAAGTCTGAAGGGTTTGGAATGATATATTTCAAGTTCTGAAAGATAACAGCGGCAAAAACGTCTGCCATTATGGAAGGAAAATAAAACTTTCCATGATAAAAAATAAACTAAAGGAACCTAATGCCACTAAGCCAGTTCTGCAGGTGATGCTTGAAGGAATCTTCAGAATGAAAAGAAAAATCATTCAAAGCCATCTACAAGGCCCCAGGAAAGAAGAAACCATGACAGAATAATACTAAGCTAAAGAGGTAAAGATTCCCCACACAGACGCACACAACAAAATCAGCCAACACACTTTCCACTGATAACCCTGAATATTAATGGTCTCAATCCCCCAGTTAAGAGATATGGACTAGGAGACTGGATCAAAAAGCAGGAGCCGCCGGGTGGTGGTGGCGCACACCTTTAATCCCAGCACTCGGGAGGCAGAGCCAGGCGGATCTCTGAGTTCGAGGCCAGCCTGGTCTGCAGAGTGAGTTCCAGGACAGGCACCAAAACTACACAGAGAAACCCTCTCTCAAAAAGCAAAAAACAAACAAACAAACAAAGCAGGAGTCATCCATTTGCTGTCTCAAGGAAACACACCTCCCCAGCACGTGAGGTACTACCTTCTGGGGAGCGGATGGAAAAGGCGCTCCAAGCAACGGCCCTAGGAAGCAAGCGGGTGTTACCAACGCTAACCAAACTATGCTGAGGTTGCCTGTCACCCAGTCAGAAGGACTGTGACTGGGAAAACAAGTCACAACCAATGCTGGCATGGGTCTGGGGACAGGGGACAGACACTCAGACACTGTTTCTGGGAGTGTAAATTGGTGTAGCCACTAAGGAAGTCAGTGTGGAGGTTTCTCCAAAAAAAAAAAAAAAAAAAATCTAAAAATAGGTGCCATAGGACCCGCCTACACCAGTCCTGGACATATACACAAAGGACTCCATAGCCTCCCACAGAGACACCTTCACAGTCCCGTTCCCTGCTGCTGTAGTCACGGTGGTAAGGAAATCAGTCTAGATGTCCATCAGCTGGGGACTGGATAATGACAATGTGATACATGCTGCACAGTGACGTTTTAGCCAGCTCTAAGAGTACAATGATGGAACTCTCAGGAAAACGGAGAGAACTGGGAAGTGTTCTAGCGAGTGACGTCCCCGAGGCCCGGAGAGACAAATAATTGCATGTTCTCTCTCCTACACGGATCCCGGCTTTGAGTATGCAGATTTGTGTGTTTGATTTGGGGTGTTTATAGAGGTCAGGAAGCGAGAAAGGGCCCATGAGGGTGGGGGTGGGACAGAGGTCTTAAGGGATGAAGGGACAGCAGGATGTGTCTTGTATGAAGCAGAATGCTGTAGGTTAAAGGTTCAAGTGGGAAAGGGGGCGGGGCATGAGTGAGAGGAGGAACTTCACAAGCATGATTAAGGCTGTATGGAAACCCTATGGAAACCCAGGACTCCATAAGCCGATTTAAAGAGAGAGAATTTGAGCAGAGGTGCCTGAGAGAGCAAACAATGCTCCCTCAAAGAACTTTCTTTTTCTTTCTTTCTTTCTTTCTTTCTTTCTTTCTTTCTTTCTTTCTTTCTTTCTTTCTTTCTTTCTTTCTTTCTTTCTTTTCTTCCTCCCTCCCTCCCTCCCTCCCTTTCTTCCTTCCTTTCTTTCTCTCTCTCTCTTTCTTTCTTTTCTTTCTCTCTCTCTCTTCCTTCCTTCCTTTCTTTTTTTTTTTTTCTGTTTTTTTGAGACAGGGTTTCTCTGTGTAACCCCCCAGGCTGTCCTGGAGCTCGCTCTGTAGACCAGGTTCTCCTCAAACTCACAGAGATCCACCTGCCTCTGCCTCCTGAGTGCTGGGATAAAAGGCGTGCGCCGCCACTGCCTGGCTTCTTTTTGCTTTTTTAATGAAAACCTCAGTGTCATGTCGTGGGTCTTCTCCCTATGAGTTATTGGTCAGGAAGTCCCAGACACCCTTAAAACAACACAGGATATTCCATTGATCTGGGTTGTCCACCAGGACTAAGTTATGAAAAGACCCTAACGCTAAAAACACAACACACTTTGGTTGCAGGCCAGAGACGTCAAGCTGGAGCTGACCTGCAAACTTCCTCCCCGCAGGATCGTTTCCATAGAATGGGGAGGTGTGGTTAAGGGGGCCACAGCGGACAGAAAAGCCATCAATGGTCTGATCGGCTAGTGAACCCTGACCGCCACAATATCCCAGTACCGGCCACAATACTGCCACAGTACCAACCGGCCAGGCAAGATGCGCTCCCTGGCGCAATAGTGGATGGCTGGTGTGGGGATCACCAACGACTTTCTCCTTGAATCTGAGGCCGGATCCACGGGATGGAATTCACGCCTGGTTGTGTGTCTTAGTTAGGGTTTCTATTGCTGTGATGAAACGCCATGGCCAAAAGCAGATTGGGGAGGAGAGGGTTTATTTCCCTTACACACCAGGTAACAAACCCTCACCAAGGGAGGTTGGAGACAGGAACTCACGCAGGGCAGGAGCCTGGCAGCTGAAACTGAGGCACGGGACACGGATAAGTGCTGCTTACTGGGGTGTACCTTGTGATTTCCTCAGCCTGCTTTCTGATAGCACCCAGGACCACCTGCCCAGGGGTGGCCCCACCCACAATGTATCATGCCCTACCACATCAACCATTGATTAAGGAAATGCCCTCTAGGCCTGGCTACAGACCAATCCTATGGTGGCATTTTCTCAGCTGAGGCTCCCTCCTCTCAGATGACTCTAGCTTGTGTCAAGGTGACATAAAACCCAGCCAGCACATACTGTAGACCCACCCCCAAAGCCCACAACCCAGGAAGCACAGTCCCTAGTGGGAGCCTACTGTTGGGCTACGTGGCATGTCAAACCGCCTTCTAAATATCTGTGCTTATAGATGAGGGCTGCTCCTGGCCTGGCCCAGAGAAGCTCCTCTCTGCAGTCGTCAGCAGAGACGCATCACTGGTCCAAACCCTGAGAGTAAGAGACGGCGGAGTCCTAAACGGCACATCCTTATCGACCGCACCAAGGCTCGGGGAAGAGGGAGAAAGGAATGAACAGCAGGAGGGTGGGGAGGAACGAAGCGAGATGCTGTCTCCCGGCCAGGTCCTGGCCATTGCACTTACTTACTGTAACTATGGTCACCAGCACAAGGGAGCGCTGGCCGGACTCAGTGGGTCACAAAGAAAGAAGACAGGACAGAAGGAAAGGAGTGGGACGTGCTGCAGTGTCCTGGGAGTAGACGATCAAGACACATTCCGCACACGTACAAATTATCAAAGAATAAATACCAAGGGGCTGGGGAGATGGCTCACTGGTTAAGAGCACGGGCTGCTCTTGCAGAGGACCTGGGTTTGGTGCCCAGCACCCACATGACGCCTCACAACTGTCTGTATCTCCAGGGGACTCACTACCTTCTTCTGGCCTCCATGGGCACTGCATGCACGTGGTACACAGACCTATATGTAGGCAAGACATTTGTACACATAAAATAAATAAATTAAAATGGGGATTTAATAAAGTTGCTATGAAGATTCCAGTCCCCGAGACATTGGGGTGTCGGCAGGAGAGCCAAGAATTCAGGGGAACAGAACTGAGAGCCCAGAGATAAACCTACAGAGTCAGCACACACCGTTGAGAAGAGAACCATGGCGAGACAGGAGCATAAAAGTGATTTTGTCCACAATGGTGGGGCAGCAGCTGCCCATCCATTTGCACAAAGATGAATCTAGACACAGAACTTATGTCTTTCAAAGAATGGACTCAAGGGACATCACGTCAAGTGCTTGCTTCCAGAGCCTGATGACTCAGAATCCGTGTCAAGGTGTAAAGAGGGCACCAGGTCCGCAAAGCTGTCCTTTGGCCTCCGTGTGTGGATGTGTGCACCCCCACAGTGATAATGAGACGGCTTGAGTGTCGTTCCCGGCACCCACATCTGGCAGCTCTCACCCCCCTGCAGTTCCAGCTCCCCGTGGATCCAGTGCTTCTGGGCTCTGGGGGCACCTGCATGCATGTGCATGTGCCCACACCCAGACACACGTACAATTAAAGTATTGGTGTGCGTGGTCACAGGAGACCCAGGCCAGTGCTTCCCAACTGTGCATAAGACTCAGAGCTTCCTGGGAAGCATTTTGCTGCTGTTCTCCTTAGTGACTGAGCCCAGATTGGGGACAAGGGCATGGGACACTGCATGGATGGGTAGTGCTAAGGGCACTCTAATGGGATAAATGTAACCTACTGACCCTGCAAACTATAAACCATGAAATGCAGTCAGGTGAAGCTGGGGTGTGGCGGCAGTACCCTGGAGAGCCGGGCACCCTGGAGAGCCGGGCACCCTGGAGAGCTGGACACCCTGGAGAGCTGGGCACCCGGGAAGGGCGATAATTAACTTGGAGATGAGTACACAGGTCCCTTTCCGGATGGCAGAGGCTTCCGGAGCAATCGAGACAAGCGTGAAACTTTAAACAGCTTGTTGGCAGGCTGGTTCGGGGTCAGGGAGCCAGTCCTTGCAGAGGAAGTGGGTCCTTCCAGTCCTGTTCTTCTTTGGACCAAGAGGCAGAGGATGGGCTCCCTGTGGCCTAGTGACCTCCCGTCTGAAGGGAGGTAGGCTGTTGGGAGACCGGGCTGTCCCTTTAGGAACAACACAGGAGTGTCAGACTTCTATATCGACCACATGCAAGCTGTGTGACCTTGGATGGGCCAGTCCAACTGACACCCCCTACCCCCCTACCCCCGCCACTCACTTTCCTGTGTCATGAGTGGAAATTGTAAAGGCTAAATTGCACATAGATAACATTGAAACTGTTAGCCATGGCTCCTCTGGTCATGTTGAGGTGCATATGCACATGTGTGCCTCTCCCTGTGTGTGTGTGTGTGTGTGTGTGTGTGTGTGTGTGTGTGTGTGTAGGTCACAGGTCAACCTGTGGATTGTGACCCCTTTAGAGGGTCAAATGCCTTTCACAAGGGCTCACCTAAGACCACCAGAAAACACAGATATTTACATTACAATTCATAACAGTATCAAAATCACAGTTATGAAGTGGCCATGAAAATCATGTTATGGTTGGGGGGGGGGTCACCACAGCATGAGGAACCGTATTAAAGGGTCGCAGCAGCGTCAGGAAGGTTGCAGGAGCGACGCAGCCATGCAGGACACCTCCGAAGCTCGGGGATGCAGAGTCCGCCCTACCTTCTGAGACCCTTGCAGGACAGCAGTTCTGCTTGATTCCCTCACTGAAGTTCTTGACTTGTGAACTTCTGGCCACTAGAATCACGAGAGAACGTCTGCCGTTTTAAGCTAATCTGTTTATGGTCATTAGTTATGGCGGCCCAAGCACGGAGTTCGTCTGCCCCTCAACACGATGGCCCACACTCACATGCACGCCTTGCACACTCACACTGGGGAGAGTCTCACTGCTCCTGTGCAACCAGTGTGCAAACCAGACAAGCTGCCATAAGCTTTGCCCAGAGACCTAGGGCCCCTCTATAGTTCCCTATGGCTCCAGAGAGGGCAGGAGGACTTTGGTAGCTGAAGTCTTGGATCTCCAAAGGTGCTGATGATCATAGCTGGAGAGGAAGGGCAGGCTCCAAGTCACAGGCTGTGAAGGCTACCCTCTCCTCCTGGCGTCCAGAGCTTCTGTAACAGTCACAGGCAGGGCAGGGCTGAGCTTGCCTGGATTGTGCGGTGTGGGATGTGGGTGTGTGTGTGTGTGGGCAAATGCCTACGTGTGGGAGTGTATGTGAGAGCATTGTCATCAGTGGGAGATGCTTCTGGATGTGGAGTGTGCCAGTGAGTAAGTGTGAACAGGTTAATGGTAGTATGAGGATGGGGCTGGCTGCACAAGGGTGCATGAGTGTGTTCGTGTGTTCATGCACGCTGGCATCTCGTATGTGACCAAGCAGTGGAAAGAGAAGACGCCACCAGATTCCCCCACGCAGAGACCCCTGTGGTGGGAGAGCCCGAGGGCACTCCCAGGACACACTCCTGGGTTCAGATCCCATATCGCTCCTGACTGGATGCGTGGGCCAGACACTAGCAGGCTGGTCCCTAACGTGATGTTTGTTCTAGGGGTTGGAGGAGAAGCTGGGTGATGGGGTAAGGGCTTTGCCCCTCTCATGCCCATTCCAAGCTGAGAGAGGGTTCAGGAAGGGTTCCCTGAAGCTGGAGCTCGTCCGTTCTTGATTTTTTGAGCGTCTGGCCGCTTCTCAAATTCTGAACTTCTGGAGAGGGTTCACTGACCCGTTCCAGGCGGCTTCCTCCTGTTTTGGGAACCTCGGTTACCCCTGAACGAGGTGTGGCTCTGCAGACCTCCCCTGGGGTGCCCGCTGTGCGTGCAGCGGGGGGTCTCCCGGAGGAACCTCCGGAGACATCAACACCAATGCGCGAACTTGGCCGGGGCGAGGGGCGTGCCCGCCACAGACCGCGCCCACTTCCCCGCCCACACTGCTCGCTGCCGGAGAGTCGCGGGATGGGACACGGAACGGGGCGTTTGCGCCGAGACCCTGGGGTGGGGACGAGACAGACACGAGGAGGGCAGGGACCAGCGGCGAATGCCCAACCCCGAGCTTGGCCGCACAGACGGCGCCGCGGTCCTACCTCGGCATCCCTAACGGTCCCGAGCGCTGCGTCAGGCGGCTCCGCAGGAGACAAGGCAGCGATTAAACAAAGGTTCTGAGTCTCGCACTGCGTGCGCCCGGCTCCTCCCTCTGTAAAGCGGGGCCACTCGTCCGGACCCTGTGCCGGGGACACGCCCCCACCCACCCCCTGCCTCGCCCGGGGAAGCATCGTTCTAAACCCCGGTCCTGCCCCGTCTTCGTTCCTCTCTGTAGTTGGGAATTTACCGCGGCCCCTTGGTGGGCAGCGCCACGCCCCCGGCGGGGCCGCACCCGGAAGGGCCGCTCCGGAAGCTGGCGCGGCCGCTTCACCATGGCGACGGCGCGGCGCTTCTGCCGCTGCGCCTGTTTCTGCTCTCAGAACCTGTACGTGGCGCGCTACGGGCTGCACCTGCGCTTCCGGGACGAGCAGCAGCTGCGCCGTGACTACGGCCCGGTGAGCGGGGTCGGGGGCGCGGGGTGCGGGGAGGGCAGCGAATGCAGGAGGGGCCGGGACACCAGGCCTGGCTTTTGACCTCTCGCTGCAGCGTGGCCGCTCCCTAGCAAGCTGGGCACGCGCGTGCGGAGTGCGCGGGACCAGAGTTTTCACAGACCTCTGGATGATCGCCTCTCCGTGACGGGGGTGGCGGCCGCGGGGGCGCGGAGATGTCTAGTGTCCGGGTCCCAGAGTCCTGCTCACTGACCTCTCCGCTCGCAGCTCCTGCGCAGCCGCGGCTGCGTCACTGCCGAGGACTTCCAGCAACTCTTGGAGGAGGTAACGCACCCCGTCCTTGACTCCGAAGGACTTCTTAGCCCTCTCTCCCCGGTTCCTGTTTCCCCTTACTCCCAGTCCGTAGACCCCGGCCCAGGAGAGGGATTGAGAAGGACCAGGTTGTCCACAGGTCTCAACAGTGGAGTGGGGTAGCCCGGGCCACCACCCCCTTTTTAGCTGTCCGTTGACACCCGCAGGGAACCCTGGCAGGTTCAGAAGTACAGGGAGAGTCGCCTTCCAGCCTGGGCCCCACTTTGGTCTTCCCGGGCCCCTGGAGGTGGGTGGCCCCGATTGACTTCTGCCTTTGCCGCTCCAGCTTGAGCAGGAGGTGGGGCGCCGCCGCAGGCTGGGCCAGGAGTCAGCGGCCAGAAAAGCCCTCATTGCCAGCTCCTACCACCCGGCGAGGCCTGCCGTCTACAAGTCACTGCAGGTACTACTAGGCCGGCCTGGGAGCTCGGAGGCTGGCTGAGGAGGAGGCTGCCCTCGGTGGGGCAACGGGGTGGGGTAACTTTCCACCGCTGCCCCTGTGTTCTGTCCCAGGATGTGGCTCTGGCCCCCGAGTTTGTGGCTGCAGCTGAATATAGTGCATCCCCCGGTGCTGACCTTGAGGTCCTTCTCCAGCGGCTGGAGATAGTGTCAGGTGAGGTCTTTCGACCCCATCACCAGCCAGCACCGGGCGGGGAGTGGGGGTGGGGGTGGGAAGGCCAGTGGACCAGTCTGCCAGGGCATCTCATTTATTCGTTAATTCATCCATTCACTCATTCATTCATGCATCCATTCACTCCTTCATTCATTGACCATCCACCTAGGATCGGGGCAGTATGTCACTGTCCCCACTGTCCAGAGGGAACAAACAGGCTGGAGGCAGGAAAATGACCAGCCGGCTCACGAGGAGGTTGAATGGGCGCCCCGTGGCCCACTATCTCCCCCTCCTTCTGCAGAGGAGAAGCGCATCTACCGGGTGCCAGTATTCTCGGTGGAGTTCTGCCAGGCCCTGCTGGAGGAGCTGGAGCATTTTGAGCAGTCGGACATGCCCAAGGGAAGGCCCAACACCATGAACAACTATGGGGTGGGTGAGGCCTTGCCTGTGCACCCAGGGAGTGAGGGCAGCTAGGGTGCCGAGGTCAGGCAGGCGACCCACCCTGCTCTGAACCCAAAGACCAGCCCGAAAGCAAACAGCTCTTGCTCTTAGCAACGCCTCTGGTGAAGGGTTGTGGGGATGCAGGGTGAGGCTCCCCAGGTCTCCCTGCTGACTCCTGGGGATCCTCCTTAGGTGCTGATGCACGAGCTAGGCCTAGACGAGCCTCTGGTGACCCCGCTGCGGGAGCGCTTCCTGCAGCCGCTGCTGGCCCTGCTGTACCCCGAGTGTGGCGGGGGCCAGCTGGATAGCCACCGTGCCTTTGTGGTTAAGTACGCGCTGGGCCAGGACCTGGAGCTGGGCTGCCACTACGACAACGCTGAGCTCACCCTCAATGTGGCTCTGGGCAAGGCCTTCACAGGGGGTGCCCTGTACTTTGGGGGCCTCTTCCAGGTGAGTGAGCCCCACCACGGCTGGCCCCGGGCAGTCATGAGGACCTCAGCCTGAACCCTACCATCTGCAGGCACCCGCAGCCCTGATGGAGCCCCTGGAAGTGGACCATGTGGTGGGCCAGGGCATCCTGCACCGTGGTGGCCAGCTGCACGGGGCGCGACCCCTGGGTACCGGAGAGCGCTGGAACCTTGTCGTCTGGCTCCGGGCCTCTGCTGTTCGGAACCGCCTCTGTCCTATGTGCTGCCAGAAGCCAGAGCTGGTGGATGATGAGGGCTTCGGTGATGGCTTCACCCGGGAGGAGTCTGCCGTGGTAGATGTCTGTGCACTGACTTGAGCCTGGTACACCCAGAAGTGTTGGTGCCATGGCCGCAGAAAGCTGCCATCTTGGGCGGGGAGAGCAGAAATAAACTCTGCAGCCATGCCATTCATTGGATCATAGGGACATGCTGACTTCTGGGTCACTCTTTGGACAGATGTGCTGTCTTAGGGCAGAGCCGCTGAAAGACAAGCCTAGTTTGACATGAAGTACTGAGGGTCGAGGGCGGAGCAGGCCCAGGAAGGGAAGGAGCCCCAGAAGGATGTGGTTTCCAAAGATGTCCAGCCTCAGCCTGACCCCTGGGGAGCTCTGACTGGGCTGGGGGCAGGTGGGGGAGCTCAGTCAGTGGCTCCTCGGATAGGTTCCCAGGGATTTAAGTGGAGTTCATTGGTCTGGGGAGTGGGGATCCAGACTATCTGGGTTCAAGCCTCTGTTCTGGCACTCCCAGCTGTGAGGCTCTGGGCTCGCTTGTGCCTGGGCGTTTGTGACAGCCCAGCGCGTTGACATTTATAAAGCACTTTACAACAGCCCTCTGTTTCCTATCGTTATTTAAGAGCTCGCAACTGGTGGTTCCGAGGCCGGATGAGGGGCGCACATAGCTGTGCACTGCTGGGGTTACGCACTCCTGGGGACTTACGTTGTAACTCTAGGTACTCGGGGAAAGTGGTAAGATACAGAAACACCTGCCTCCATTCTCACTGCAAATGATGGAGCAGAGTCTCAGCTGCACACCCACACCCGAAGGCCAGGGACTCATTCCTTAATCCCTGATGGGCAGCGACTTCCACCACTGAGCGATGTTGAAAACACCAGTCATCTTCAGTCCGTCCGAGCTCTCAGTCTGGTGGAACGGACGGACCCGCAGCATAATGAGGGAAAACAGTAGGAGGGTGGCTTTCAGCTGGCCCAGGACCACGATCTCCCACCCACGCAGAGGCGCAAGGCCAATCCCTCCTTTTTGTTGGAAGTGGGCGTGTCAGAAGCGGAACCCAGGGACCGGAACTAAAGGCAGCAATGGACTCAAACTACACCCGGACGGACTTCCAGGCCGGACCCACCCCGGAAGTGGACCGGAAAAGTCCAACTGGAGGCTGTTTTCTCACGCAGGGGCATGCTGGAGACTGGTGGTTGACGTGGGAACCGGGCGCCCTCGAGACCCATCTCGGGGCAGCCGGGCCGCCCTCCTGCAGTTGAGGAAAGCTGAATTGTTTTCCCGCGGCGCAGAGTCCAGTGCGCAGGCGTGTGGGCGGGGGGCGGGGGCTTAAAGGGACTGCGGTGCGGAGTCGGAGGAGCTGGGGTCGCCGGGAGCGCGGCTCTCGGGCGGGAATGGGTACTCGGTGCCCCGTGGGCCAGGCCCCGTCGGCACTGAGCTTGGATCTACTCTGCGGACGCGTCCGAGAGCGGCTGCAGGTTAAACGCGTCTCTTCCGGTCTCTAGCCCGCTTTGCTATGGCTCACGTTGGCTCTCGCAAGCGCTCGAGGAGTCGCAGTCGGTCCCGGGGTCGGCGGGGGTCAGAGAAGCGAAGTAAGAAGAGTAATAAGGAGGCCTCGAGGAACTGCTCAGCCTCCAAATCCCAAGGTCACAAGGCCAGCAGCACCTCCGGTGCTGAGGGTGAGGACCGTAGGGACGGGGCGTCTGCACTGCGGGAGGCTTGCATCTGTCGGGCCCGCCCCCAGGGAGGGAGGGATTCGGGGTAGAGCCTGGACCGGGTCCCTGGGATGGGGAAGAGGCCCGGCGGAGTGGAGGGTGTGCCTTATTCATGCTTTAATGCGCTGGGCCTTTGAGGTCGGGCCTGGGGTGGCCAGGCACACAGTGACTTCTAGAACTCCAAAGAAGGTTCCGAATGTGCTGCTCTTGGAGAGCGGGTTGGGAGGGAGGGTCCTCCCGAGTAGAGGCCTGAGCCTGCCCCAGGCCAGAGCAGGGGACAGAGGCCTTACCTTCTCCCTAAATCACAGAGAGAAGCAAGCACAAGGCCCGGAGGACAGCGAGATCCAGCTCTTCCTCCTCCTCTTCCAGTTCTTCCAGCTCTGCATCATCCTCATCCTCCAGTGACGGTCGGAAGAAGCGAGGGAAGCCCAAGGATAGGAAGAGGAAGAAGAAGAAGAAACGGAAGAAGAAGCTGAAGAGGAAGGACAAGGAGAAGGCAGTGGCCGCGCACCCGGCGGAAGCTCTGCCCGGCCCCTCGCTGGATCAGTGGCACAGATCAGCTGGGGAAGACAACGATGGCCCAGGTACCGTATGGGCCAGCATGCGGCAGGGCGAGGGTGCTCTCCCCAGGTCTGACACCCCTCTCCATATTCCCTTCCAGTCCTGACGGATGAGCAGAAGTCTCGGATCCAGGCCATGAAGCCCATGACGAAGGAGGAGTGGGATGCTCGGCAGAGTGTCATTCGCAAGGTGGTGGACCCAGAGACAGGCCGCACAAGGTGTGGAGCAGCAGGCACAGCCAGCTAGGCCTGCCCTCAGCACAGTCGGGAGGTGGGGACCTGCAGCCACTTCTGTCAGCCAGGATGGGGAAATGGTCACTTGTGATGGGACATCCCAGCCGCTATCCCCTGTGCCCCTTGGAGTAGTGGCGGGACTGGAAGGGCCTTGCGGCTTTTCAAATGGTGGCTGTGACAAAGGAGCGTCTATCTGGACTGTCTCCAGAGTGGGGATTGGGAGCAGGCTCCCCCTGCTCAAGATGGTCCGGCTTGGCCTGGGGTCCCTTTCCTTGGGTGGGTTTGGTTCTCTTGTGTGGCATGAGAGTCCCAGACTCTTTCTTGCTGAGCTGATGCCCTCTGACCCCCCAGGCTTATCAAGGGAGATGGTGAGGTTTTAGAGGAAATCGTAACCAAAGAACGACACAGAGAAATCAACAAGGTTGGTGCCACCTCTCTGCCCATGCTGTGCCCACACTGTGTCTACACTTAGTATCTCATGCTTCTATCCTGTTTTCTTCCTCAGCAAGCCACCCGAGGGGACGGCCTAGCCTTCCAGATGCGAGCAGGCCTGCTTCCCTGAGGGCCCTGGTCTCCCAGGTCTGTGAACTACTGTTGGTGGCTTGGAGACAGACGGGTCCAGTTGTCTTTTCTTCTGTGGTTGGCCTCTGGCCCAGGCCAGCATCCTCTTGGGTGCGGTGGGTGACCTCCTAAGCACCAGACTGGAAGAGTGTCGATATTAAATGATCTTGGTCAGAGTGCCTGTCTTGTTGCGTTCTATGCTGAGGGGCACAACTATTACCATATGACTTCTAGAGAGATGTGCTCATTGGGGAAAGCAGGCATGTCCTCTGGTGGTAGTGAGCACAAACTACCCAGTTGACTCAACCAGGACCAGACCTGACCCTACCTGTCTGAGTCAGACTCAGCCTTGGTCCTGAGGTTGCGCTCTCAGGCCATCACCTGTGTCCTGCTGCACAGGAGTCTGGCCAGGCAGGAGGCCCAGCTCTGGTTTGTTGGCTGTGTCCCCCTGGGGAGCAGAGGCCAGCAAAACCACCCTCACCAGGTCTGCTCATGAGAAGGGCGGTCAGTTCCCAGGTGTGTGCTAACGTCACAGTGGTTAGTGGCGTGTGTCACCGCAGTGGGTGTCTCGCCTCACCCACACCAGGATGCCTGTGGTGCCGCCGCAGTAACGAGACCAGAAGGAAGCCTCTTGCTTCTTTAATTGGTGTAACAGACGGTGACACGGTACACAGAGCACACTCAGGCCGGACGATGCGGGGACAGCATGGGTGGGGTCGGGACAGGGTTCACACATTGTCCAGAGAAACAGATAGTACGAGGACACACGGGAGGGGCCGAGATGTGAAGGTGTATCGGGCAGGGTGGTGGGCAGCTCACACAGAACCAGAAGGGGGTGTGGGGGGGTGTTCTTTGCTGAATCCTTCTTTAGAAATGGAGGAGAAGGCAGGTGGTTGGTGCTGGGTGGCATTGAGGCTCAGTCCTGGGGACTGTGGGTGGGGAGGGAGTGACTAAGGCTTCTATTCTGACAGGCCTGGGGTGGGTGGCAGTCGACAAGGTCTGCCTCACCCTTTGGTTACGAATGGCCAGGCCTGAGCCCTGCAGCTCAGCACCTGACACTGTAAACATTTTTTGGTATTTTTAAGGGACTTTGACCTTCCTCTCTTAGTTTCTGTAAAAGTGGGGCTTCCTCAAGAGAATGAGCCAAAGGAGATCTTACGGGAAGCAGAAAGCAGACTTGAGCGAGTTTTGGGGGGAAGGCTGCCCGTCTCACCATCTATGGCTAAGGGCCCTGGGAGAGCCCCAGGAACTATTGCTGTTGTCCTTGGCATGGCTGGCGGCTGGGCAGACGGGGGCATTCAGAGCCGCAGGGGGCTGCCCGGGGGAGAGGCCAAGCCCGCTGACCCCAGGGCCTCCCTGGCCTTTATTGCAGGTGGCCTGAGGCTTCCAGGTGCTTCTCCCAATGGCTGAGGCAAGACGGGGTGGGGCTGAGGGAGGAGGCACTGGCCACTGGGACCCCGGGTGGGGCAGTGATTGTCGGACCAGCAGCTTCCTTCGGGGTGGGGCAGATATTGCACTTTCTCTGTGACAGGTCCATGGAATCTTGGTCCATAAAGTAATCACTCCTTTATACACAACACCGGAAACCACAGAGCTACATCTTAGGGGAGGCCGTGAAGGTCTCGCCTCTCAGACTTTTTTTTTTTCTCTGCACAAAATAAATAGCTTTCTTCCTGTCTAGGCCCACCAAGGCAGGGCATCACATGCCCTGTGGTGTAGGTGTCTATACAGCAAAGTCATGTCTCCTGTATGCCTGCTCAGCCTAGCCACGTGGCCCTGAGTCTGAGTGCGGCTCGGCGGCTCCTCAGGCACAGAGCCCCGTCGCTGGACCGCTGGCCGGAGCTAGGCGGACTCAGCCAGTGCAGGGAGGAAGGGGCAGAATTGTGCTCAGTGCGGCGGGGAAGGCAGCCTCAGACCCAGCGTGCGGGACACCTGGCCTTGTGTGGGGAGAAATAAAATGGCTGTCTGCCCTTACGCTGACGAAGCAAGCCGTGGCTTCTTGGAGTAGACATTAAACGGAATGGCATTAAGAAATCCTAAGAGCTCCACCCGCCCCAGAGTAGGAAGTCGGTGGAATTGTGGGTCAGGTGAGGCGAGAAGCCCACACCTTGCCGAGTGGACCAGGTGCAGGGCCCACAGGCCAGACTGAGTGGGACCCTGTCACAGTGCTGGGTGTTCCTAATGGAGCAGGCTGCGCTGACATCGAGTTAAGAAAAGGAAGCAGCCGAGGATCGCCTGTTAAAAAAACCTTATAGAAACCAGATGGAGAAGTAGAAAGGTGTAGAAACGCGGTGGGCAGCAGCCATGGCGTGGGCCCAGCCCATGGCAGGCCGGGAGGTGGAGGTGGAGGCCGGCCCTCTGCAGGCCCAGCTGCCCAAGTGGGTCACCAGGGGCCGCTGCGCACTCTGCTCGCCTCACACCTGCGCTGTGCTCAGGGCCCCGAGTGACGCCAGTCCTGGGACTGCACTGAGCTCTGGGTGGGGCGGGGGGACGGGTGGGCAGCAGTGTGGGGCTGCCGTGGGGCTGCCGCGGAGCGGGCAGGTGGCAGAAATTAAGATAGAGCCTTTCTCTCCTGCTTGCGTGAAGATTGGCCACACTGGAATCTTCTGTGTGGCGACAGGCCCTGGATCAGCAGGTACTGGGTTTCATGCATGTCGACATGTCTGGAGCCAGAGGAGAGATGGTAACGGGTCTCCACTCTCAAAGACCAGTGCGGCGGAACCAGTGAGGTTGGACAGTTGAGAACCGGAGTCAACAAGAAAGCAGGCTGGACCCCCGCTGGAGCTGCTACCAAATGGGAAGGGGTGCCAGTGGACAAGGAGGTGGCAAGCTGGGCTTGGACCCACGCCTGGCACCAGGAGGCTGAGAGATCAACACAGGGCAAGACGTCCAGGAATGCCTCTCGGGCTGGCCTAGGCGGCCCATCCTGGTTCCTCTTCTATCATGGGCTGGACATCCTGCCAGCACCCATGACCAGCTGGGCTCCTCGGAGCCTAGGGCATGAGGCAAGGCCGGGGGGACTGTGTTGGCATGGCCATGTCTTCCAGGGGCCCTGGGACAAGCTCTCAGGCCATGTCCTGTGCTTGTCCCCAGCCACCTACGTGTGCCCAGGCCAGGCCTCCCAGTGGGGCCGGTGCCCTGGCCTAGCACCATGGAGACCACAGCGCCTCCTGACGGTGTCCTACTTGGGTCCTGCGGCTGCCCCTGGTTCCAGCCGGCCTGTCATGGCCCGGCCCCAGCAGCTGGCCGCCACGCTCATGCTGCGCTGGCCCCGCTGCTCACTGTCCATCTGGTTCTGTGTCCGATCGAGCCGATGGCTGGGCCCGCTGGGCTGGGCTGAGATGGTGCGGAGCAGGTGGTTCCGGGAGCGCAGGAAGTCTCCCTGGCCAGGTAGGCCAAAGCTGCCCTTGCGCAGGGCCATGCGCGTGGCCGTGTTTCGGGCTGGACGCGCCCGATGATTGTACTTGAGCTGGGCCAGGTGGGCGGCATAGCCATCCGTGATGAACTGCGGGGGGGTGATGGGTGGGTTGTTAGGCGGCCTGGGGCGCCCTACTCTGCCCGGGGGCGCCCTTCAGGGTGCCCCGCTCACCTGGCATTGCTGCTGCAGCTTCTTGGTGGGCCGGCCGACAATGTAGATGTGCATGGGAGACAGGCTGATGGAGCTGTAGACGGCCACGTCCTTCGTGGAGCCGTAGGCCGCATGCGCGCGCAGGTGCAGCTGTGGATGAGACGACCATGGGCACCGGCCGGACCCCCTCGCCCTCCCCTCCTCCTTTACCCCGCCCTCCCGGGCCCCACCTCAGAGATGAGCAGCTTCAGGAAGTTCGCCTTGTGCCGCAGCGGGTCGTGCACCAGGCCATCGCAGAAGGACACCACGCCGTGAGGGAAGTTGTGCTGGGCCAGCCACGCCACCACCCGCTGCTTCTGCATGTCGGGCCGGCCAGTCACGTAGATGATGAGGTAGCCCAGGTCCTGCCAGTGTCTGCGGAGGCAAGGGGGCAGGCGTGGCGTCCCGCGGCTGCTTGCCTCTCCCTCCCTTTCTCCTGCCCAGCTAGAGCTAATCTGGGCCACGGCAGAGCGGGCATCTTCATCAGCCGGGCCTCGTGCTGCCCACTGCCCTGATGGTAATCCCAGAGACTCCTAAGGCCGAGGCAGGGGGATGGCAAGCTCAAGGCAGCCTGGGCAGTGTAGTGAGACCCTAACTCAGAAAGGGAAAGAGGGTTGGAGTGTCACTCATGGCAGAGTGCTTATACTTGTCCTGTATGAGTGACGGTCCAGTGCTTAGCACCACACAGAGAAAGGACACAGAGCTCGGCCAGGGCTCCAACAGTGGTGACGAGGGGCAGGTGTCCTAGGTACTCCCACAGGGGGCACCCCTGGAACTGGACCGGCATCGGGTGTGCCAGCGGCTTGAGGACAGGCCAGACCGTGGTGGCACCGGCCCGGGTCCCGAGGCTGCGCTGTGTGCCGTCCCCTCCCCGACTCGGCCTGCGCCCCACCCGCCTTCTGAGTCACACCCGGGCCCCTAGGGGCCACTCACCGCACCACGTCCACCGCCCCGGCGCGCACCTTGGGGTCACTGCCCATGATGGACACACTGGCGGCAAAGGAGCCATCGATACTGAAGACCACAAACTCCGTGCCCTTGGGCAGCACGGTGATGTAGCTGTCGGCAAATGTGTGGTCTCCCCTGGCCGCCGGGGACAGCCCATCAGAACCAGCCAGAGTGCCCCCACCCCCGCCCCCGCGCTCCCACCCCCACCAGAGGCACATACCTGACCACCATCTTGACGGGGTAGACGCCCACCCCCAGGCGGTGTGTCTCTGGAATGGTGTAGGAGACCCGCCCACTGCTGTTGGTCACCAGGGTGTCCAGGTACAGCCACTCACCTGAGGGTGGCTGCATCATGATGTGCACATCCACCTGGAAGCCGGGCAAGCTGGTTACAAGCTGGCCATGGCCTGGCCTCAGTCCCTGCACCCTGGCCGGGAGGATGGAGCTGCTGCCCAGGCACGGTGTCCTCACCTTCTCCCCAGTCAGGGTGACCATGTCCAAGGGCCCGTACATGAACCGGCCCGTCACGATCTGTGGGCCGTCCTCATTGGCAACTGCATCATTGATCCGGTGGTTGGCTGTCACGTTCTGGGGGGGAGGGGGCGAGATGAGGTGAGGAGGGGGAACGGAGAGCGGCCGGGGTCTTCTGGGCTCAGCTAACACCTGTGTGGGTGGGTCTGAGAGCGGAGCTTGGGTTCTAGGCGGCCCGTGCTGCGGTCCGGCCAACGGCCAGGCCAGGCCAGGAGGAGAGGGAGCCGACCTTGCTCTGCTTTCTTCCTCTCAGCTCCTTCCTCACCCCTCCTCATCAGATGGAGGCTCACAGCAATGTGCTGTCGCGTCGGACTGCACAGGACGGACCGGGGTGACGAGGGTGGGCCGGGGCCCCCGAGGACCCTCACCCGCAGCTTCACGTGGGTCCTCTTGCGCTGCCACTTCTCTCTGGGCTGCGAAGGCGTGAACACCGACACCTCCTTACCGTCCAGTTCCAGGATGCTGGAGCTGTCGTGCCGCATGACCTGGGAACAGAGGCGGGCTGTGGGGCAGGCTCAGGCTGGGGGGGCTGCTCTGGAGAAGGCCCAGCATCTCCAGGAGCGGGCAATGGGCATCTGCCAGGGTCTGTAGGGCTCTAATCTTGTCTGTGACTCCTGACCCCAGCTGGTTCCCATCCTGGCTGAGAATGAGCATCCGTCCCACCCCGCACTCCGTGGGCGCCAGCCCCCCCCCCCCCCCCCGTAAGGCCCAGTAGGTACTTGTCTCAGCAGAAAGGAGACTACGTCGGTGGACTCCCAGTAGCTGGCGTGGAAGAGGTGGGGCAGGGCCACTGTGGGGAAGGCCGTGAGGGCATCGGGGCAGTACAGGGCGTAGTCGATCCGCTTCTGGCCCCACCACTTGGCGGCGACTGCCGGGAGGAAGGGTTGTGATTGAACCACCGGCCTCCGGGACAGAGACCCAGTGGGTCACTGGCACTCAGGCCCGTTCACCTCCGCCTAGCCCTCCCTCCAGGTGCAGTCGGAGCGGCGTTTCTCCCCAGGCCAGTGGCGGCAAGCAGTGTGCGCAGGAAGTGCCCACGGGCAGCCTTGTGCCAGAGTACAGAGCCCTGGGGCAGGGCTGAGGGGCACGGGGATTTCTGGAGCAGTTGGTGACCGAGAAGAGCCCCCACCCTGGACCCTGCCCAGGCCCTGTCCTGCATTCTTAACTGCTCCCAGGCTTGGTCATGTGAGAGACCTTGGTTTGGCAATTCTGCAACCTCCAGGCAAGGCTCACTGTCTTCCCAGTGTCTTGCCTGCGGCCGAGCGGGAAGGGTGAGTGGTGAGGCCCAGGGCCTTGCGGGGAGAGGGACCCGAGGGTCCTCCCTCAAGGGAGAAATGACATGGGGCATGCCGGGCCTGGTGGGTGCACTCAGGTACCCATCTGGTGGTGCCCGCTTTATGAGGCCTAGCTCTCTGAGAGACAGGACCTGAGAGACAGGACCCCAGGTAGCGCCAGCCCTGCATCCTCCCCAGCCAAGGCTGTGTCCCCTGTGAGCCTCAGCGGGAGCTGATAGACGGGGCCTAGCAGCGAGCTGGTGAGACATGCTTGGCAACAGTGAGTGACCTTGGGTTAGAGGGGAGACAGCTACGGTTGGGGTACCTTCTCCGATGTCCAAGTCAGGGAGGCAGGGGAACCTCTCCAGGTTGGGGCTCACCTGCCTCGCCCTGGCACGGGGACCCTGGGTGGTAGGGGATGGGGGGGGCAGGGCGAGCAAGGATAGGCGCCTGACGCTGGGGGTGTGGCTGAGCGACGAGGAACCCTCTGAGAAGCAAGAACAGGGGGATGGTTCAGCCACACGCACACACCAGGGCCGCCGACATTGGTCCGGAGCAGAGAGGATTTGAGGAGAGAGCCAGGGCCCACCACGGGAAGACCCTTAGGAAAGCTGGAGCCTCCGAACCCCCCCGCAGCCCCAGCCTCGGCCCAGCTGCTCCGGCCACAGCCTCTAAAGCCTCACCTCCGCCCTCCCAGGGAGGTCCCCGCAGGCTGGCCCTGCTGACCAGCCACCACCGGGGTGGAAGCACCCTGGCCCTGCAGGGGCTCGGCGCCCACTTCCGCCCTCTCCTCGGGGATGGCACTCACTCTGGGCAATGCCGGATGCTGTGCAGTTCTCGGCCATGCCGGACACCTGGCTGGCAATGCTGATCTCACTGGCTCTGCGGAAACCACGGCTGGCAGGGGCGGTGCCAGGCGACGAGGGGGCGGCGTGCTCTTGGAAGACTGTGTTGTGGGTCTGGAGTGCATCCGCTGTGGGGGGGAGGGGGCAGGGACAAAGGCCCAGGTAAGAGAAGCGCTGCCTGACCCTAGGTCTCCCAGCAATGGGAGGGAGAGGCCAGCTTGCCAGTCCGGCGTGCACCAGGCTGCAGCTGGTTTAGGGCCTTGAGAGCCAAGGGTCTGAGCTGAGGCAGGGAGGGGGAGGGCTGGACAGGGTAGAGAAGGGTGGACAGATGGACACAGACATGGGGGAGGGAGGCAGGCATGGGTTCCTGCCCTCCTTGGCCACTTCCTCCCCATATCTGGCTCTACAGTTGCCCTCTTGGGCCAGCCTGGACTAGCCCACAGGTTATCAGCATTACTTTGGGCAGGGGCCTTGGGCAACTCCCTAGGGGTGCTATGTGTGGGCTGAGGACTGAGAAGGTGGCAGACCCCAGAGTGGCCCTCACGCACAGGCTAGGGCCCAGGTTGCAGGCAGGACAGAACAGGGGTCCGCTGGAGGAACCAGTCTGGGTGACATATCAGAAGGGCCTGCCCATCTCTGGGAAGCTGGGACCACTTTGCATTAGGGTGGCCTCAGCTTCTGGTTCACTGTGTACAGGAAAGGCACCAAGACTGACTTCCCATGGCCATGCCCTTGCTCTCGAGGTCACACTGACTCTGAGTGGCCAGAGAGGGCACGAGAGGGGGTGGGAGGACCAAGGGACAGCAGCCAAGCAGACAGCAGTCACCAGGAGTGGGGGTACACACACTCAGCACAGCCCGGGCTCGGGCGGGGCCCGTCCTGCCAGGTGAGCGCGGGAACGGGGACACTGGTCTCCAGGAAGCTGTCCCCGTGGGGGAGAGGGGCCAGGGGGCCGCCCTCCAAGACCAACTCTGGGTTTCTCTGCACGGTCTCGACTGGAGGCAGACGGGAAGAGAGCAGAGAGGACAAGAACAGACACTCAAGTGGCCGTCTGCACGTGCTGACACAAACAGGGCTCCTCAGACCAGGACACCACGACGAGGACGACGACAAGAGGCCAGGATGCACACTGGAGCAAGGGGTGGGCCGTTCCCTCCCACGCTCCCGGCCAGCGCTGGGCCGGCTGCCTCCCACAACGGGCCCCGTCTACAACGCCTCAAGCTTGCAGAAGGCCCGAAAGTCCTTCCCCGTTGGGTTGGAGGCCCTAGGCAGCGGGGAAGGGGATGCGGCCCTGGCTGTTGCTGGGAACCCCTTGGCAGGCTTTGGCAGGCACAAGTCCCCCTTGCCCCACAGGGACCAGATGTCCGCTGGGGACAGGTGTCTGGGGCTGCTTCCCTCTGGGAAGGCCCACAGTGTGTTGGGGGCGGTACCACAGCAGTTATAGGTCCCCCCCACATCCTCCCGTCCTGGGGAGCCTCACCCAGCAGCGTGGAGCAGCCGTCCCCCAGCGGGTAGCGCTGGTATCGGGGGATGCTGAAGGGTGGCAGGGTGTGGAAGCGCCGCTCCAGCAGCGGTTCTAGGCGGGAGGCTGAAGGGTCCGCGGGGTGGAAGAGGTTGTACACTTGCTGGCAGGCTGGCCGCAGCTGGAAAACTGGGAGGGGAGGGCGCAGAGAAAGGAGACTTTGGGGAGTGGGTGGGGGCCCGGGGCCCCGACTTTGCCATGTGTGTGTGTGTGTGTGTGTGTGTGTGTGTGTGTGTGTGTGTGTTTTAATCCATTTGGGATCTGTGTGGACCACTGTCCCTTTATTAATAAAGATAATAGTATTTTTGAGACAGGGTCTCACTGTGTAGCCCCTGCTCATATTGAACTGCAGCTCTTCCGGCCTCGGCCTCCCAGGGGCTGGGATTACAAGTATGTGCCATCACGCCCAGTTCCAATTCTTTTAGTTGGAAAAAGGATAGTGACACCGGTAAGAACCAGTTTGGCACCGAGGGGACACGTTAAGGAAGCAGAGTGGAGGGCTCCTCCAGCCCAGGATCCCCTGCGGGGCTCCATGTGCATCTTCAGCTGGGTGTCATAGGCACACAGGCTGAAGTCACCCCCACCCTCCCAGTGCATGCCCCTTCCTAGGATGCAGCCTGGCACTGTGAGCAAGGCTTGAGCGTCAAGCAGGTGCCTTCCCTGGGAATCAGGCGCCTCCCTTCTAAGCCACACCCACAGGAGCACACTAAGCTTTCTGAACTTGGTCTTTTCGCACTAGCATGTGTAAAAGTTTCTCCTTATCTTTCCTCAGGGTGGCAGGGGATCAATCCCACAGAACGGTCTTTGCATGGTGTGAGAATCTGTGAGACTTCTCTGAGCAAGGAGGGTGGCCCCTATCCTCCAGGGGACAGCTGCCCCCGGGGAGTATGCTCAGTTGTAAAGTCCCTTAGGGCTGAGGCTTTCCCTCACCCACAGGGCCGCTGTTGCGCCTTGCAGAAGAGAAGGAGCCGGGGCATTGGTGGGGCCCTGAATCTAAGGCCTTCATTTTAATCTGGCTCCACAGTTCACCAGCTCTTTGCTTGTCTAAGCTCCGCTGAGGCTGTTTCTCTTCTGCCACTGGGGACATAGCAGTTACTGTGGGGATCACGTGCACCTCTGGGGTTGTGCTGGCTAATCCTGGCAAGGGCCAGGGATTTCTGGGATGGTAGGAGACCACCCTACTGCCCATCTCTACAGACTGTGAGGCACTGTGGCTTCATCTGTCCCTCTGGGTGGACCCTACACCAGAGACTGGATCTGTTTGATCTGACCTCTCCACCCCTGCTGTGTGTGCATCCCCTCTTGCTTCTGGGGACCTCAGAGAGGTATGAAGCGGCAGGTTCAGGGGATGGACGGGTGACTGAGCTGCTGGAGAGGCAGGGAAGGGCAGTGGCCCTTGATGGGCAGAGATGTTGAAAGGGCTGGCATGTGACCATGGCCTTGCGACTGGCCCATGGAGGCCCCTGTCCAGTTCATGTAGCCTGTCCTACCCCTGTAGGCCTCTCACCGTCCAGGGAGGGGATGACCGTTTTCCTCAAGGCTAAGACTAGCCCCAGTGGGCACCCGAAGAGGAAGAGGTCGGCGATCTCGAAGTCAAACTTGCCCAGGGCTCCAGCACCGTCCAGCATCGTGGAACTGCTTGAGCGGCGCGAGCTGGTCTCGTTCCTTAGCACGCTGGCGTGGAGGCTGCAGTGGGGGATGTGCAGGTCACCCAGGGTCAGGCTGGGTCCCACGGACCCTTAGGGACTGAGCCCTGCGCTGTCACTCCTAGTGACCGTGGGTCAGAACTCTGCAGGGGAGCCTACTGCCCTCGAGATGCCCCTGACGGGATCACGCCGCCCGACTCCTCCTCACTCCCATCCTCAGGACCCACTGTTTCCAGTGGCTGAGGGCGGCCCTTGTCGTGTACAGGACCACAGCACCGGTGAGCCAGCCGGGAAGGGTTCCAAACAGGAACTCCCCAACACCCCCACACATGTCCGAGCGCCCTGGCTTTTCCGTGCCGGGCCTTCCTCCTCCTAAGGAGAACCCCAAACCGTACCTGGACAGAAAGGCCTGGTGCTGCTGGATGGTGTCCAGCTCATAGGTGGAGGAATCGCTCCTTTTGCGGGGCAGCTGCCTCCTGGGGTCCTCGGTGCCATTGCTGCGGGGGATGTCAATGTTGCTGCGGCTCAGGTGCCGACTGCTCTCCAGGCTGGAGCCTCCGCCACCGCCACCGCCACCGGAGCCGTGTGCTGCATTCACCAGGATGCCCGGGGACAGCAGGTCAGCGTCCTGGAATGGCCATGGAGGCTCACTGCCAGGTGGTCCCCAGCCTAGGCCCTTCTTCAGCGTCCTGTGAGCCCCTCCCTCCTGACTCCAGGCCCCGCGGGCCACTGCCCAGCTGCAGGCTTCTCACCCAACCAGAGGGGAAAGTCTTGTCTCCCACTGCCCCTCAGACTACTGGCTAAGTCCTAGCAGCCTTCACTCCAGGACTGCTTGGCACTCAGTCATCTCTCCCGGGTGACGGCCCGTCTACAGCAGGAAGGACCCTGGTCAGACAAAGAGGAGAACAGGGTGTGCCCATCTCACTTCCTAGGGCCAGAGCCGTTCCAAGCAACGTAGACCCGGTGTGTGAAGCCACGTGCTCTCCTGGGCTCCAAGACATTGCAATGGTTCTCCAGACCCCAAGCTCTAGCCTGCTACCTGTGCTCACCCACACCAGCAACCTCTGTCCTTCCCACCTGTCTCCTGGGGGAAACTGAGGCACACTTTCAGCTCTTTCGGGTTGCTGTTGACCTGCCTTGGGTGTTTTCCTTTACTTAGTCTGAGACCCAGGGCATGTGCTCTCCATGTCTCTGCTAGCCTTCTCGTCTGCTGTTCCGTGGGAGGGGAACTCTTGCTGGGCCTCATGGGTTTGGACATTGTTGGGTGGATAGAATGGACAGAGCTTGGATTGTGGTGTCCAAGTCAGTTCCTCAGGGTTCTGGCTGGGCACACGTTGCTTGTGGGACACAACACAGGCCATCTGATGGCTTGGTGGCCTACAGCAGGACAGGCGGCCAGTCTCCATGGTCTACCAGAGACGGCAGGCCTTCGTGGAGGTTTGGGAACTAAGGACGGCCCACCCTCTGCCCCTGCTCAGGTACCTGCATGCTGACCACACTGCCCCGGCGACTGCTGCTTTGACTCTCCGACACTGGCTGGCCACTGTAGCATAAGGCATCGAATGCCAGGATGCCCCCAACACAATCTCCAATCAGGCAGACCTGGAGACAAAACGGCAGAGGCCGGAGTCTTCACCGTGCTTGCTGGGCTGCTAACTGGGAAAAGCGTCCCCCATTCCCTGCATCCTGCTCCTCTGGCTACCCCAAAAGCACCCCAAAAGGTCTCTCCCAACCCCCTGCCACCACTCACCTGTCCACTGAAGGTCACACCTTCCTGGGACTTGATGAAGTCTCCATAGGCCAGGTTGGCCCTCTGAATCACTGTAGCCACTGCCTCCTGGTACTGGGGTGAAGAGGTGGCCAGCAGGGGCAGGGCAGCCAGGGGGATGTGGTCCTGGCTGCTAGACAGACAGCCCTCATCGTGGCCGTAGGGGCTGAGGCTGGGGGGAGGGGCTGGATCAGCAGAGGGCAGGTAGACTCCAGATTGACCCAAAGGCCCTTCCCTGATCTGGAAAGCAGGCCAAACAGCCGACTGCCCCAAAGTACTCATGGGGACGCTCCCAGGGAGGCCTTGAGCAGGCTCTGAGGGCCAGGGCCATTGGGTAGACTCACATGCCAAGGCAGGCCACTCTACAGACGTGAACGTGAACTCAGCCTGGAGACTGTGCTCCTGGAATCTGAACTAATCTTGTCTGCACAGGCTCCACTGCCTGCAGGCTGAGGGGGATGGATGCTGGGAAAGGGGAAGTCTGGACAGAGGACCTAACTCTTGGGGAGTCACGTAACGCTCAGGGCCAGAGGTGGGGAGCACTTGTGGCTGCTTCTCCCTGTGGGGCATGATGGGTGTTGGCAGGCACATGCCACTCACTTGGAGACAAGGGCGAAGGCTTCAGCACAGATGGGTGGGCAGGGCACCAGGCGGATGGCTAGGTGGCCTAGAGCACTGGGGTAGTGCACACGCATGACGGTGTCGAACACATTGGTGATGGTGTTGGTGTCGCCCTGCTTGGAGCTGGGGTCCCCAGCTCCAGTGTCCAGGATGGTGCCTCCATGCAGCACCAGCAGCAGCACGTGAATCTTGGAGGGTGGCGCGGCTAGTGGCTGGCTCACCTCATCCTGCATGGGCAGTGGTGGGCATGAATGTCTTGCCAGGCCCCCAGGTGCCCTAGTCTTCTGTTTCTGTGGTGTTGGGAACTGAATTTAGGACCTCATACATATGTGAGGGGCAAACGTTCTACTTCTGGGCTAAATCCCCAGCCTGAGGGAGCTGGTTTTTGGTTATCTGGTCATGGGGTCTGGATTTAGTGCCTCAGCCTTTCTCTTGGACCCCTGCAAGGACCAGAGACTGGAGGAGGCGGTGTAGCCTGACCAGAGTCACAGCAGACTCAGGGACGGGTATCTTCTGGAGAAACCACCCCAGTTCTACCTTCCTCGGGGTCTTAGGCAGCAGCTTCTGCTGGGGCAACCCAGGCCTCTGGATGCTTGCTGCATGTCTGCTTTTAGGTATAGCTTGGACTTGGCCCAAACAGTCAGGCCACGCTGGCCCAGGGCACAGGGGTCACTAGGAGTGGCCAAGGCTAGCGAAGTCGTCTAGCTCTGAGGTCTCTACTGTCACTCAGCCTCCCGCCCCCGTTACTTCTGGAATCCAGGACCAAGGTCCTCAAGGGCAGAGGGATCCTGGCAGAGGCAAGGTGCTTGCACACGGCAGCAGGAAAGGAGGGTCGAGTCATGAACCTCCCTTCCTACTGGCCAGGCCCACTACGAAGCCCGAGTAAGGCCCTGGATAATGCACAGCTCTGCACAGGGGTACAGCAGGGGTGCAGAGCTACTCCTTTCCTAGACAAGGGAGTAGGCTGGAGAGGCCCAGGCACTGGTCATATGGCTCATCAGCACCCGAAGCTCCTGCGAGTTCTCCTGGCAGCCCAGGCTGCGGCCCCTGTCCCCAGAGGCACGTCCCTGAATGCCCACTGAGTTCCAGGGACGTGTCTGAGAATGACCACTGGTTTCTATCTGTTACACCACGTTATGTCCGGGGATGTGGGGCTAGGTGGGGAAGAGAGAACGTGGAAGAGATGCCCATCTGGGGCTTGCTCTCCTTCACAGGCTGGGGTATGAACAACTGCACATACAGGGACGGCCCCCCACAGGCTGGCCGGGCAGAGGGGGTGGTGGCCACTCCTGTCAGGATCAAGGTCAGGGGCTTCTCCACTACAGCGAGCACAAGGTTATGGAAGAAGTATCTCTAGCAGCCTGTCAGCTCCTGGATAAGGGGGTGCAGTCCAGCTGTGCCTTGTTACCCAAGGGTGGTTGGGATTGGGCTGGTGGGGTGTTGAGGTTATCCCCTGTGCACTTATCTGGCTGGACTCCTCACTGGCTACCCTTCATGGACCCCTACCAGCCCAGAAACAGCTTTCTTCACATCCAGCCTAAAAGAGGAACTCCCCTGGCCCTGAACTCTAGTGGGAACAGAGCTCACAAGAGTAGTGAAGCCAGCTATGGAGAGTCAGGGCAACCCCCAGCCAGTGTTTCCATGAAGGAAGGTTCCGGTTTGGGGACCAGTATGGGCAGAAGGGTCTGACTGTGGATGGCAGTGCCCAGAATCAGTGCTGGGCTCCTCCAAGTGCACATCCCAAGGCAGATCCTGAGCCTCAGGCTCCGCCCCTCTCCTGGGACAGTCAGAGCTGTGTGCGCTGAGTCGGGAGGACCTCTGCTTGCTTTGTTGTTTGTGAACCTTCGGCAGCAACTGACAGTCGTTCCCTTCACCTACGACCCCTTCTAGAAAAGTGTACCTCCACCTCAGACCTCAAAGGAGAAGACCCCAGAAGGGGAAGAGGTGTGCCTGCCTCTCCCAGGCCCTCCCTCCAGGGAGAGCAGAGTTCCCATGGAGGTGCTATCTCGACCTTGGGCGGCCTGGGAACAGACCTGGGCATGATTGCGACCACGGCATGGGACAGCCCTGGCCCGGCCTGGCCTCCTGCCCCAGTGCAAACAGCTCTGACGGCCTGCAGGTAGAAGGGGCGCGAGCTCCGCAAAGAACCCCCAGAGCGGACACAGGCTCCTCATAAAGACGGCTTTATTGGACACGCTGAGTTCTGCCTGACCCACGGGCCACAGCCACATCACTTCTGCCTAGGTGGCTTTCGCTTCCTGTCCTTGCTTCCTTTTCTCTTCGAGTGCCACAGCAGGGATGGGAACGTGCTGAAGGTCTTAGGTTTTTTCTGGAATTTACAAGGGTCTCATTTCACTTCCCCAAAGGAGGAGCTTGCTGAAGGTTTTCCTGGAGGCTGTCTGCTGGCCCTGGTTCTCAGGAGCATCACAGAGATGGGACTAGCTGGTGTCTCCATAGAAATGTGGCAAGGGAAGGGACCCTCTGGTGAGTGTCTGGCTAGGTGTGGATGGGAGGCCCTGGAGAGCTCTGCCTGGTAGCCTGCACTCAGCCCTCCCCCACAGCCTTAGTCCCTAGTGTCCAGTGCACCCACCTCGATGATGTTCAGCTGCTCCACACTGGAGGCCACCCTGAACTCGGGGTCACTCTGGTGGTACAGACCGTCTGCAACACAGAAGCCACACTAACTGCTGGTGCTATGGACACCTGGCAGCCAAAAGGGAGCCCCTGGGTCCCGCCACTGTGTGAGGACTGGGTAAGACAGGAGTGGACGGCACCCTCACACCCTCTCCCCGGGCTCGTTACCCTGTTGGTCCTCAGGCTCGGGATTCTCCATTTTGTCCATGAGGTCATTGGAGTTCCACTTCGTGATGTCCTTGGGGAATCCTTCCTCTTTGTACGGGTCCTCTGGGGGAGGAAGGAGGACTTCAGTGGGGACTGAGGATGCACTGGACTTCCCGTGTTCCCGGAGCCCACAAGCTCAGTGTTCCCAACTCTGTCTTCTCCCTCTCTGTCTCAACAGGGCAGCCAAACAGCTGCAGACCACCTAACCTTCTTCCCCCATCACATAAAACTCCCTACTCACACCATTTTAAAGTGGCATTTAGTATATTCATTATGCTGTGGGGACATCACCGCTATCTAATCCCAAAATATTCTCTTCCCCTTGACTGGAAACTCTATGCTGGATCGCAGGTAGTCAGGCACCACAGCAGAATGAGTTCTCCTCCAGGCCTTTGCCTATCCTGGACATTTTCAGTGGACACAGTCCTACACTACGTGGTCTCCGTGTGTGACTGTCCTCACGGCTCCGTGCTGTTGAGGTTTGTCTGCCCACAGGGTATGGTGGTGTCCCCTTCCCTTTACGGATCTACCCTAGCCTTTGTTTATCTGTTCACAACTGATGCTGTTTAATGTCCAGAAAGACACAGCTCGGTGAGGACGCTGCTCTGAACAGGTCACCCAGGACTGGACTCTCATTTCTGCTTGTCCAGAACTCCCAGGCCAGCCGGGCAGCTGCCTGGCTCAGGCGCACGCTGGCCTTCTCCTCCTTGGGCTGAGGATGGGCTCCTGGGCGGGATCTGAGAAGCCTGCCGCCTGCCATCTGTGCCTTTCCCCTACGTCTTTTTAACGCTAGGTATTTTTCCTCTTTCAAGGATAAAGAGCCCGCTGGGAGGGGTGGGGTACCAAAGACACCCTCCTCCATTCTTGTCAAGTGCAGAGGTTGCTCAAGAGCCCCGTGACCCTTTTCTAGGTTGTCTAACACCAGGACAAGCCAAGCATCTCCTTTTTTTATTGGACACTGACTCCCCCAGAGCTCCCCTGTAGGTATGGCTAGCCAGGTAATTAGATGCCACATGTGGGCAGCTCCTCTGCTCCTCCAAGCTATGGTGGCGAACAAGAGGGCCTTGCTGTTCAGCTGTGGGCATGTTCCCATTGTTCCCATTGTTCTGACTTCTACCATGCTCTGGAGCTGGCGGGGCTGCCGGCATGCAGTTGGGTCCATCTTTCTTTCTGGGCCTGCCTGCTGGCCCTTCTGACTTCTTTGAAAGCATCTTTGTGGTTGGTCCCACGCGAGCAAGCAAGCAAGCGAGCGAGACAGTGCTTGCATTTCCGGCACAGGTGAGCAATTGGCTGTGTGCTCACGGAGCTTATTTTGCCATTAGTGGGAAAATGGGAAGTTCATCTAATTTCTGCTTATTGCTTTTTCTAAAGTGTCTACATTAGATGCATATTAATTTGCATTAATTTAATGAAGAAAAGCAACAGCACACAATAAAGCAAGCACAAAAATTGAGGATGCTGTAAGTCATACTTTTTAATGGAGATAAATTAATCTGGGGAAGGCTCTGGTAGAACTGTGTGTCATTTATGAGGTGGGGTAGGTATGGCTATGTAGGTATGCATAGAGCTATGTAGGTAGGCATGGGTGTAGAACCTACCTATTCCTGCTTAAGAGAATGGCACCCTCCCTCCTCCTATGCCCTGAGTCCCGACTTATAATTAAGTCCCTAGACTCAAGTGAGGTGGCTTCCCAGTGACCTCATCTCATTCTGGGTTCTCCCCCCAAGCCCGAGGCTGTCCCCTGTGACAGTGTAGGTACAGGTCCCAGGGACAGTCCAGTGACGGGTGCTTCACACCTTTAACAATTCTTTGCATCTGGCCCAAGGAGCCACCCCAGGCTGCAGGAGCTGCCCGCCTACCTTGTGCATCAAAGAACTCTTCTTCTGAGCCCTCATCCGAGTCCCTGGCGATGCTCTGCATTCTCCACTCTGAGATGCTGTGTCGGGAGGGGCTGGCTGCAAGGCAAACAAAGGTGACAGTCTGGCCTGCAGAGGAAGGCTCTGCTGAGCCGGTCACAGCAGGCAGGGAGTTGTGATGGCAACTTGGAGGGCTAAGTGGGCATCACTGGAAAAGTTCACTATAGACAGAGGTTAAGAAACGAGGGGCTGATGGCTAGGGCCCACCTGGGGAGAACTGGTCTGGCCCTTTCAAGGGGAGGGGCACTCTGCTGCCTTGTCCAGGGAGAGCTCAGGATGTAAGCTCAGAGGAGCCCTGAAATGTGGCCACAGCAGGGCTGACCAAGAGCGCTGGCTGCAGGGCAACAGGAAGGGACAGAAGACTAAGGTATTGGCTCATCGCATTCCAGTGCCGTCAGCCTAGGGCCAGGCGCACTGGGCTGGGAAGGCGCGTCCCAGGAGCATACTGGCTGCACAGGGGAGATCTTGTCGTCCAGGATCTGATAACTTGAAGCTGTCTCCTCTCACTGGGGGGCTGCCCAGAATCACTCCCCAGAGTGCCACAGTCACAGACTGTCTGGGGCTTACAGGTAAGTCTGGGGGTGCTGCTTGGAAGAGGCAGCTTCCCTTCATGGTGAAGCCCCACCTGGTACCAATTAGAACGTGAGAGACTCCACAGAGTTAGCTCCGCTGTGTCCGGAGGAGAGAGCCAGAGCTACAAGGACACAGCAGGGACATGTCCACCCTGGAAACTGGAAAGGGGGGCCTTGCATCAAAAGGCAGGAACCCCAACTCACCTCCCCGCTTGGAGGACCGTGAGGACTTGGAGGAGGTGGACCACTGCTTCTTCAGGCCCCGCCCCCGGGACTCCCCATTGCTGCTGCTGGGCTCACAGGGGGCTCCGGATGCCTGCTCCTGAACAGCGCTCTCCTTGCAGAGCTCCAGTGCTCCTCCGTCCTCCGCAAACTGGGCCATCTTTCTGGACAGCATGAGCTGCACTTCTCGTTCCAGTTCTCGGATGTTCTCCATGCTCAGCCCATACCACTCATCCTGCCAGCACCAGGCCTGCCGGTGAGCCCGCACCATCACCCGCCGCAGGCCTGGGGAGACAGAGGACAGAGGTGGGCTGGCGGCAGAGACTGTGCCCTGCGCACAGAGCCAGGGGACAGAGGTGGGCTGGCGGCAGAGACTGTGCCCTGCGCACAGAGCCAGAGGACAGAGGTGGGCTGGTGGCAGAGGCCGTGTGCCCTGCGCACAGAGCCAGAGGACAGAGGGGCTGGCGGCAGAGGCCGTGTGCCCTGCGCACAGAGCCAGAGGACAGAGGTGGGCTTGCAGCAGAGACTGTGTGCCCTGTGCACAGCTGTAGGTCAGCTAGAGTCACTGCTCATCTGTCTCAGTTCTTCTATTGCCAACCTAGAGAACTGGCTCCCAGATGGCCTGGGGGCTCACCTACAGGGCAAGGCTTGTTAAGTAGAGGCTCTAGCCAGAAGCCACAGCTCACTGGAGGGGCTTCATGCCCCAGGGAGAAGTGTCCTGTACTTCCCAAGAGTCTCCTGTTGAATTTCCCACAGAGCATCAGATTTAAAAAGGGGTCGGATTCTGTGTGTGTGTGTGTGTGTTGTGCCTGTGTGTGTTGTGCCTGTGTGTGTGCGTGTGTGTGTTGTGGCTGTGTGTGTGTACGAAAGCCTGAGGTCAGCACTGGGTCTCTTTCCTCTACTGATGTTCCACCTTATTGTTTTGAAGCAGGACCCTTCATTGAACCTAGAATTTGCTGATCTGGCTAGACGGGATGCCAGCCAGTGCCAGGAATTCTTCTGTCTCTGCACCCCCAGCACTTGGTTTATAGGCATACACTACGGTTGGTTTATGTGGGATCAAACCTCAGGTCCGCATGGTTTGGTGGCAAGCGCTTTACTCACTGAGCCAGGGTCCTTTACCCAGCCCTGATCCTTCTTTAAAAAAAGAAAAGAAAAAAAAAGCTGGATGCGGTGCCACAGCAATCCTAGCACGTGGGACATGGAGGCAGGAGCTCAAGGTCATAAAGACATCCTTGGCTAATGCTGAGTTGGAGGCAAACTTGAGTCACATGAGACCCTGCTTCAAAACAAAATAAAACAAACCAACCCAACCAACCACAAACCAAACACCCAAAACAGGGACTAGGGAGTGAGAAAGCCCAGTGGGTCAGACACTCGATGCCAAGCCTGACAGCAGGATTCAGTCCCTGGAACCCACACTGGAGAGGGAAGGAAGGCTGTCCTCTGACCTCAACAGCACTGGCTGCTCTTCCAAAAGATCCGAGGTCAGTTCCCAGCACCTATATCAGGCTGCTCACGACCACCTGTAACTGGCTCCGTGAGATCCAATACCCTCTTTTGGCCTCCAAGGGCATCTGCACTCACATGCACATACACACACACACACACACACACACAGACAACAGACACACACACACAGACAACAGACACACACACACACACACCAGACACACACACACACACACACACACACACACACCACACACACACACACACACACCAGACACACACACACACACACACACACACACACATACAGAGACACACAAATGGAATTTTAAAAAAGCATCAAAGGAAGTAAAACATTAATGTCCACACCACCCAGCAAAGGAACGTACAGTCGGGGTTCTTCAAAAACTCATCTCTACCTAAAAGCACAAGGTTTTGTGTTTGTTGGTTGCTGTTTCTGGGTTGAGTGTGCAGATGTGTTTCCTACAGTGTGTTGGAATGGTCTGGCGGGTGATCTTTACATGTATGTGCTGTGCTGTGTGTTTTCTGCAATATGCTTCTCTAGCTGCGTCTCACACTCTTATGTGGCTCCGGGTGTGGGGTTTGCTGAGGCACGGCATTGATGCATTTGAAACACTGGTTTATTTAGTCCTTTTTTCCTGCTAGTGGATCTTTGACTTATACGTATAATTTTTCTTTTTCTTTCTTTTCTTTTTTTTTTCTTTTGGTTTTCGAGACAAGGTTTCTCTGTGTAGCACTGGCTGTCCTAGAACTCACTCTGTAGACCAGGCTGTCCTCGAACTCAAGGAGATTCACCTGCCTCTGCCTCCTGAGTGCTGGGATTAAAACTGTGTGCCACCACTGCCCAGCTAATTTTTCTGTTTTGTGGCTCTGAACATTCTGACGTGTACATGAGTTTTTGCAGGGGACATCCTTGAGAGGAGTGATGGCTGGTTCTCAGGGCACGCCTCCTCTGCTTTCTTAGAGAACTCTGGGCAGCCTTCCAAGAGGCTCGGCTCTGGCACAGCTTCAGGCTTTACCCCCTCCTCCCTCTCATGCCCCACGCTTCCTTTCCTGATTCACAGCCATTCTGAGAGGCCAGCTCTGGAGACTTTGGCTCACCCATGGAGCGGGATGGTGTGCTCCTTCAGCCAGGGCTGACGGTATCCACTGTTCACACCCGAGGGCGGGCTCAGATATAATACTAGCTGGTCTCGGTTTCCTTTCCTGGGCCCACAGTCTACTCCAACCCAACGGGGAAAGGCTTCCTCGCGGGCTGGCTGGGAGGGAAGGGACACTGCACTATAGGGAGGGCTGGGCACAAAGGAGGCAGATAGAGTTTTGGGAGTTCCTTCTTCTAGACCGCTTGTCAGCACACTGATGTTCACAGTGCTCAGACAGGGCTGCGTCTCGTCCGTCTGCAGCTCAGCACTGCAAGACCCACCCCAAAGCAGCTCTGCAGAACGGCTACCATGACACCCACGTCCCAGATGAGGACAGTGGGGCTCAGAGAGGCAAGGCTGATGGCTGCTATGGCAGTGTGGGGACTGCATGTCACAGCTGTCCTAATGACCGAACCCTCGCCCTCCTTTCTGAAGAGAGGGCTACATTTAGGAAGCTGGCTCCTTAGGGTTTTGCCAGAATCTCAGGGGCTGTATGGGGACAGGGGGCTCACAGAGCCTGGGAATCACGATCTCCGGGACCAGAAGCCCCACGTGGGTCATATGGGGCGGACTAGACTAAAGGGGAGGACGAGCTAGCAAGACTGGAGAAAGGAAAGGGCCAGGGTAGGCCAGTCCTCCCAGTTCTCACGCTGCCCGTGAGAGGAGGCCTGTGCTCCCGTTTCAGAAGGGTCAGACTACAAACAGGAGGGGAAGGCCCAGTGGCGTGGGCACGTCGACTAATATCCAGGCTGCCTCTCCAAGCCTGTCCTCCTGGCCCAGAGTCAGGGATGCGGGAAGGTCGTAAGGAGGTTGCCTGGGTCAGTCTCAGCTAACATGGGTTAGAGAGACTAGAGGGGTGTGTCCCACCCTTCTCCTGCTCCCCTCCTGAACGGGCACGGGCTCCGTAGGAGCCTGCTGGAAAAGGAGCGGGAGATGAGCTGGTGAAGCTCTCCCATGCTGTACAGCGCCATCACGGCTGTTGTCCCTTCCAGGTGGGAGGCCCCCTGCTCAGAGCCCAGCGTGCTGCCGACGGCACAGCCGCTGTCCACAAGCTCTAGCATCCGTACTGAATGGGGCTGCCTGGTGAACGTCCACCGCCAGTGCAGTCAGTGTCTGTTCTGGGTTCCGTCTATGTGTGGGGAGGGCTTTGTTTCTTCCTCTATAAACAGGGCAACAGCGCCCCCATCATGGGTAATCATGAGTCAATGTCACAGGGGTGGAGATGTTGTCAATGGTGTGCCTCTATTCATGCCTAAAGTCCATCTCCCTTGTTTGTGGTGTCTTCCTAGATGCTCCTGTGGGGTCATGAGTCTAGGGTTCCAAGGGAAGAGAAGAGGAGCCTTGGACAGCATCCCTTGGCTGAGAGCTCCCAGGCATCTGTTGGTCCACCTGTTCCTCGGACACCTGCTCTGGGAAGGCCACGTGGGTGTGAAGGGCACCGTGTCTGAGCCACTCTGCCATCTGGGACTTCCAGCCTGTGAGGAGGCAGAGCTATGGACTAGCTAGGGTCTGGACCTCCTCAGGTAGAGGAAAGACAAGCATGGGAGCCAGAGAGAGGCCCCAGTGGCAGAAGGGGGGCTTCTGGCTTGAGTGGGGTGCAGGCTACACTATCAGATACCAGCCAGGTCAGGAAGGTCTGGGCAATTCATGGGGCATCTGCATGGACAGCAGGCACACTGGTCAGGGATGGCCCAGACAAGAGTGGGAAAAGGAGCCGGGCATAGGCTTTGGGGTCTGTGGTGGCTGTTCTTGGTTCTTAACATGACTACATCTGGAATTAACTAAAGTCCAAGCAGTTGGGCCCATCTGTGAGAGACTGTTATTGATTGGATTGTTTGAGGTAGGAAGACCCACCCTAAATTGGGGCCACATCTTCTGGTGGCAGCCTATATAAAGGGCATAGAAGAAGGAAGCTTTTGCTCCTTTTCTGCTCCTTTTCTGCTTGCCCTCACTGTCACTGGTAAGTCTAGTTCTTCACTGATATTAGAGCCTACTTTTTCTGGAGTCCAGTGTATCCTGAAGACCAGGTGAGACATCCAGCTTCATGGACCAAACAACTAACTACTGGATTCTTGGACTTTTCATCAGGAGACAGTCAGTGTTGGAATACTTGGACCACAGCCTGTACACCACTCAAATAAATCCTGTTTGTTCTCTCTCTCTCTCTCCCTCTCTGTGTATCAATTCCATTTTTCTAGGGAACCCTGACTTAATGCAGGGTCGTCTTTTAGGAGTCAAGTGCAAGCACACAATCACGGCACATGGAGAATGGAGGCAGACAGCCCCCCCCCCCCCCCCACCCCCTGCTGCACACGCTCACCTGTGTCATGGATGACGGCACATGGAGAATGGAGGCAGACAGCCCCCCCCCCCACCGCTGCACACACTCACCTGTGTCATGGATGAATCTCTCGATCTTGGACTGCATGCCCCAGTAACGGAACTCCACCTTGCAGAGCTTGTAGGCGCACATGATGGGGAGGAGCCGCTTCTTGTACTCCTGGATCCAGTTGTCAGACAGCGGCCCCCGGCGAGTCTTGACCGACTGGAATATCTTGGGGTCTTCTTCTGTCTTATACTCATTGGGAGGTACAGGATCCTTGACGATGTCGATGATGTCTATGGGGACACCCTGTGAGTGGTCATGTCTGCCCCAATTCTATCCACCCTTTCCAGGACTCATCATGTATGATGCTGTGTGTGTGTGTGTGTGTGTGTGTGTGTGTGTGTGTGTGTGTGTGTGTGTAGGATGAGGTTTCTGGTAACTCCCTGAATGCCAGCCCAGAGCCTTTCCTGTATGTGTGTAACACTGGAATTGACCCTAAGGCCTCACACATGCTAGATAAATGCTCTATTACTGAGCTGCATCACCAACCCTATCTTTACTTTTTATTTTAAGACAAGGTCATATACTAAGTTGTCCAGGTGGCTTCACCTCATCCTGTACTACCTGGCCTGGTTCTTGTAACTCTTCTGAAGTCAGCTTGACACCATGGTCCGTGTGTGGAGGTAAATGAGCCAGTGAGCCAAGGAGACCATGGAAAGAAAATTCCCAGGAAGAATATGGGGTAGGGAAGGGCAGACCAGGGTGAGAAATCTTTCCAGAGTAGGGTGGCATTTTGGCCACAGGAGTAGAACTGGGAGGCTCAGGTGGCCCACGAAGCACTGGTGCTGGACTGGGTTGAGATCTTGGGGAACCCCTGGGATGCCTGCTGAGGGCAGGGGACTATTGTGGAGGTGACGGAGAATCAGGAGGCAATGGTCCTTTCTCACTAGACTAGGCTCCTGGATAGTGCCTAAGCAAGGAGACCTGGGCAGAGATCACCCTCCAGGAGAGGGTGCAGAACCGCGTCAGGCCCTCAGATGTGTTTTGTGTAACATTTTGTTAAATATTGTATCAATGTTTAAGAACTTGGGAATTTCACATGAAAATCTCTATCTCTGATTTCTCTATAAGAAGATTTAGCCGGGCATGGTGGTGTATACTTTTAATCCCAGCACTCGGGAGGCAGAGGCAGTCGGATCTCTGTGAGTTCGAGGCCAGTCAGGACTACCTAGTGAGACACCGTCTAAAACAAAACAAGCTTAACAAATGGAGACAGTTTCCTGCACAGCCACATCAGCCAGAGAGCAAAGGAGCAAAAGCCACCATCACTCCAGTCACAGATGCCTTAATAAGGGCCAGACACCCCCAGGCAGGGGGTTCACAAACGGCTGGTAGCCGGACAGCACCCAAGAGTACACACGTACACTTACAGGGAGGGGAAGCTGACAGACTTGGCATGCACATCAAACACAAGGAAGCCTGCCCTGCTGCCCTCTAAGAATCTAACCTACTCTCAGGATGAGATCAGGCAAGGGCAGAGGGCCAGAGTTAGAGTGGCCTGGGGTGGGAACGCCGCCCACTGGGCTTCAGCCTTCATGCTCACCTGTTATCAGCTGGTTCTTTTCCACAGGAGTCAGACTGAACACATTATTGTTTTCCCCAGTATCAGTCTTATAAAAGGTTTCAATGTCAATGGAGAACTTCTCCACAAAGGGACAGGTGAACCTGAGAGAAAGAACATCCATCAGGACCAGACTCTGGAGGGACTGTGACTAGCTGGCAGCCTGTTGGGCCACACTGGAGAGAAAGTAAGGTGGACAGGTGGTGTGGTCGATTGAATGAGGATGGCCCCCACAGGCTCACAGACTTGGTCCCTAGCTGATGGAACTGTTTGGGAAGGATTAGGAGGTGTGGCCTGGCTGGAGGAGGTGTGTCACTGGGGGGTGGGCTTGGAGGTGTCAAAAGTGCATGCCATTCCCAGATAGTGCTCTGCTTCTCTGCTTCGTGCTTGTGGAGAAGGTGTGAGCTCTCGGCTACTGCTCCAGCACCACAGCTGCCTGCTGCCTGCTGCCTGCTGCCATGCTGCCTGCCGTGATGGTCATGGACTCATCCTCTGCACTGTAGGCCCCAATGAGCTCTTTCTTCTATAAATTGCCTTGGTCATGGTGTCTATTCACAGCAGTAGAAATGTAACTAAGATAGATGGGTGTGACAGTCACGTCTATTTCCTATAATACCATCTTGTCCTAAGAGTAGCCAGACTAGCTTGGGGGAGAGAGAGATGGGGATGAGAGTTGTTGAACTCCCTTGGTGGCTTCCAGCAGCCTCACATCTGGCATCCACGTGAGTGTGGTATGGTGGGAATACATGCACAGCCACAGTGGCAGTGTGCCATGGAGTCAGTGGATCTGGGCAGACACTCCTGGCAGATGACACCAGCAAGAAGCCCACTCTGACCACAGAACAGCTCCTCTCTGGGATAGAGAAGAGCTCTCTGAAATCCAAAACTAGCTCTCAGCATTTTCCAGGTACAGGGGAGGAAGCCCTGGAAGGCTAAAGGCCCTTGCTCAGTGAGAGCTAGCCCTGAGGGGAAAGAGAGAAGATCCTCTGCTGGGGTTCTGAGAAAAGCCTTGCTTACCGTAGGATGCATTAAACATTGCTACAGAAGCTGAGAGTCTCAGAGCTGGGAGACCTTGGACCATCTGGTCTACCTTCATCTCACACTTCTTCCCCGCAGGCTGTCACTGCGCATGGGAACTTAGTGAATGTTCCCTCCCTGACCTTTCCTAGATGCCAGCCCTGCTCTCATGACCTCCATTGGCATTTCTGGGGGGCAGGCACACGGAGGCATCTGTCCCCTTCCTGCATATGACCACCTGTGAACCACTAGGGAACATGTGTGAGGCACAGTTTGATGTTTTTAGGGGTGCAGGGGTTGAGCCTGCCAGGAGAGTACCTGGACACATGCTCAGGAGTTCCCCTAGCAGATGGCATGCTGAGGAGGTAGAGGCAGGCACACCTGGTTCGGGTGTAGGGGTAGGCGTTCCAGGACTCCTCCACCACCCGCAAAGCTGCCTTGGGCAAGATGGAGCGGAACCAGCCAGGGATGTGCATGCCCACATGATACACCTTGTGGGTGTACTGCCCAGAGCCACCAGGGCCGTCCGTGTAGGGCCGGTTCTCCAGGATCTCCACGCCACTGCCTTGTCCGTGGGTCTCATTGCGACTTTTCTTCTACGGGGGGAAAAACATGTTGATGAGAAGAGGCTCAAAGGACTGAGGACAGGAAAGGTCTGTGGCCTTAGGACTGGCTCTTTCTGTGTCATTTCAGGACACCCCAGCCTCCCAAATCTACACTGTGGCTCTATGAGCCCCAAGCCTCCTGATGGAAGTGAACAGAGTCCTGGGTTTCCTCTTTAAGTGCATGTATTGAAAGCACAAAGCATTTGGTTTGACTCCTATCTATCCTAGGACTGAGCATTCCCAAGATGCCCACTTTCCCCCTCTTCCTCTTCTTCCTCCTCCATGTCTTTGAGACAGGGTCTCTGGCTGACCTGAACTTCCTATGTAGACCAGGCTGGCCTTAAACTTGAACTCACTTGATCTGCCTTACTCTCCCTCCTGAGTGCTGGGGTTAAAGGTGAGCACTGCCACATCTGGTCTCTCTCTCTCTCTTCCTTCCTTCCTTTCTCTCTCTCTTTCTTTTTTTTTTTCTTTTTGAGACAAGGTCACTGTGTAGCCCAGGATGGTCCTGATTTGCATTTCCCCTGACTCAGCCTCCTACTGGGATTACAAGTATGTCCCCTCACACCAGTGTTGAGTGCCTCCTTTCCTGCTTCTGCTCAGTTTTGTACTGTTTGTTCCAGCCACAATAATTAGGCAATAAAAAGAAATAATAAGAAGCATCCAAACTGGAAACAAAAAAAGTAAATCATTTTAGTTTGTTGAGGACATAATCTTTATATGGAAAACTCTAAAGAATTCTCCTTAAATCTCTTAGGCTTAATTAAATGAATTCAGCAAAGCTTTGGAACACAAAATCAACACAGCAAGCTGAAGAACACAAAAAGGGAACTGGTTGCATTGACAACAGCATTTGCAAGAACAAACAAGAATACATTTAGACAGAGAGGTGAAAACTTGTACACTGAAGAGCACAGACCCAAAAGAAATTAAAGACCTGCGCAACTGGAAAATGTCCTCCCTTCATAGGTTAGTAGACTAAGTTCTGTTAAGACAACAATCGTCCCCAAAGAAGCCCACAGGACCTGCAATCGCCAGCAAAATTCTAGTGTCTTTTTTTTTTTTTTTAAGGAACAGCAAATGGATGCTACAATTTATATGTTACTGCCAGAGACCCCAGACATCTGAAAACAACAACAACAACAACAACAACAACAACTAAAGCAAGCTGGAATCTCATACCTCCCTCTCTCACACAAAACCTTATACTTAAATGCCACATTACTCACAACAGCCAGAAGGTGGAAACGGTCCGTCCATCTGACCACCGGCTGAAGAAAGGGTACCCTGGACTGGGGAGACGGCTCCATGGGTTCAAGAGTGCGTGCTGTGCACGCGTGAGGACCTGAGTTCAGAACCTCGGAGGCCATGGAAAGCCATGTGTGGCTGCATGCGTGACTGTAACCCCAGCACTGTGGAGGGCTTGCTGGCTGCCCCAAATGAGAGACCCCGTCTCAAAATAACAGGGGGAGAAAAACAGGCAACATTGTCCTCTGCCTGTGCATGTGAAGAAACTGTTTGCTCAGGACTCGTGTGGGCCTCGGGACACACAGGTTTGCTGGGGGCTAAGAAAACGCTGTTTCCGGACCTGGCACTGCTTACAAGGGTGGATTCATTTGGCGTGAGCCCACCACAGGGGTGCTTATGACTCATGCACTTTCTATAGGTACAAATTCTTGAATTAAGAGTAAAGAATGATGACTGGTGTGCTTGCTCTAAACGGGACATATACAGCACCCATCCATTGTGGAACTGGGGACAGAAAGGATGTAGAAGCCTGCGGATGGGGAGGTGTACTGCAAGAAGTTGTCTTCTGGACACAACGACGTCATTGTGTTCATGAATTCATCCCAGCCGTAGTCACTCACCAAGGTGTACAAGGCTGGGGAGGCCTCAGGGGGCCTTTGGCAGTTAATGGTGGCTTGGGAGGGGCTGTTAGCGGCCACTTCCTTCAGTGGTGCGGCCACTGGTAAGCTGCCCGTGCCCGTAAGTCCGCACCCATGCCCACGCAAGCAACCCTAATCAGACTTACTGGGCCACAGGCACACAAAGAGACATGAATGGAGGCGGGGCCTTGCTGGGATCCAGTGGGACGGAGCAGAGATGAGACCGTGCAATCGCAAGAGGTGAAGGCAACTAAAATTCATTATGTACATATATAAAACTGTCAAAAAATTAAAATTAAAACAGCAAAGAGCAGCTGGGCATGGTGCTCATGCCTGTAATTCTAGCAGAAGCAAGGAGATGATGAATTCCAGTTTAGCCTGGGCTATTCCAAAAATATATATAAATAAATAAACAAACAAACAAACAAACAAATCTCTCTGAAACTACCTACCACCAAAACGAAAAAGCAAAGAGTTCCAGCAAGACTGCTCAGTGGACAGGCGCCTGCCACCAAGCCTGGCCACTGAGTTCAATCCCTAGGAACCACATGGGAGAAGGCAGAACTGACTCCTGGAAGTTGCCCTCTGACGACCACACACGTGCCATGGAATACATCCTCCCTGCCCCGCCCCCAATACTTTTTCTTGAGAGAGAGAGGATCTCTCTGTGTAGTCCTGGCTCATTATGTAGACCAGGCTGGCCTTGAACTCACAGAGATCTGCCTGCTTCTACTTCCCAAGTGCTGGGATTAAAGATGTGTGCCACCATGCCTGGCCCAAATAAATGTAATTTTTTTAAAAAGTGAAGAGAAACCCAGAACTATGCAAGCCACCGAGAAGTCGCACTACAAGGAAAAGGTTTACCATCACAAAAGCTTCGGCCTCTGAGGACAGCTGGTCCCTGTCTGCCTCCGGAAGACAGTGAAGTCTAACTTGTAAGTAGGGGGTATGGTCTGCAAGGCTCTGGGGTCCAGATAGCTCTCAGGTGTTTCTGAGAAAGGGCTGAGGGTACAGGCGTGGAGGCCCCGGGGAGAGAGAGGTGATGTTCTGGCTTAGTCATTGATGCTGTCACAGGGTGGTAAGGACATGGGACAGAGAAAAGCTGGGCTTGATCTGGACCAGTAAGGCATCAGATAGGGCCACTCATGGATCACACTGGGCTGAGATGTACATGCTGTAGGCAAGGAAAGAGCCAGAAAGAGGAGGAGCCCCAGAGGGAATGTCAAGCCCGAGCAGACACCTATCTCAGTCTGTACCTCACATACAGAATGGGGCACTCCACATCCATAAGTGAGGAAACTGAGTCACAGGGTACCAGCTGCAGCTCACTCAAGGTGACAGCTGACTCCCAGACTACAGGCACTTGGGACAGTATGGAGACAGAGAGGAAGAAGCTGCAGATAGCTTGAATCTCAGGAACCACACAAGCATCCCCTCCTATTGGGTGGGCCTGTAAGAATGAGGGCATCCATGCCTGAAGTGGTGCTGGCAGATGTCATGTATTCACAGGAGTACATAGGCATGTACAGTGGTCTCCTCCAGGATGCCATCCGAGTGTTCTCTTCAGAACCCATCTAGGCTATATGAGTCCTGCTTTGGGCTATCACTCTTCTCAGTGTTCCAGCTACTGGGCATGACTCAGTCTCCCAGATGAGCAATGCTGTGTTATAGTACTTTTAAATGTTATTTGTCTACTCTCAGAGGCTCACAGCAGGGTCTGGGGTGGGGCCAGGCACAGGCTGCCTGCAGAGACACCTAGTGATGCTGGGGTGGACTGTGTGTCCTGGGATCAGCATATGACTAGAGAGACTGAGGACTGTGGTCCGTTCCTGGGCTTGAGCACTGAGGCTGCTGGTCAGGATGTCTGTGTCCACGTGACTTTTCTGTACACATGTGTGAGACAAGCATGTATGTGTGTGAGCCAAGAGCCTATGGAGACATGAGAGCAGGACAATGTTCTTAGAGCTGCCTGTGGGTGGATGTGGTCTTACCCCTGTGTCTCGGCATCGGGAAGCTAAGCCAAGAGAAGCGAGGTCGGTCTGGACTACGTAAATGGGAAGGAGAAACAGACAAAGACTTCCTGGGAGGACATTTGTCACGGGTGGAGAAACTGAGGAACAGGAATCACGTGTGAGGCTACTCAGTCAGAATGACAGAGAGGCCGAGGAGGCAGCAGGGGTTTTGGCAGGGGTCCCAGCATCACACAGGGCCACAAACCCCCTAATGGACATGATTCTCTCACTGCTGCTGTTGACATCTCATTAGAAACATATTCCCTGATATAAAAGCTAAAATTAGCCAAAGGAAAGGCAGGAGTAAGTTTTTATGACCTTGGGCTAGACAATGGTTTATAAATGTGACACTAAAACTGCAAAGTTTATTTTAAAAGGCAGATGGGGGGCCTGGTCTGATCTTAGGTGGGACCGACGCCTATTCAGTGGCAAAGGGGCACCTTGTCACTCATGAGTGCGGATGGCCACAGTGCCCACATGGAAGATGGGATGTGGTCCCTTACAGAGGCAGAAATGGGTGGAAATGACTTCTCTAGTCTGCAAGGGGAGCTAGAAATGTAATCCTTCAGCAGGAAACTAGCGAAAACATAAATCACAAGAGACAGATAAACTGGATTCAATGAAAATTAATAACGTGTGTTCCACAGAAAGAAAGTTAAAAAAGCTTGTATAATGAAAGAGAAAACTTGCCAATGATATCTGATGCCAGGAATTTGTATTCAAAACATAAAGAGAATGCCCACAACTCAAAACCAGACAAGAACACATTCACAAATGGTCCAAAGACTTGAACAGTCATGTCTCTGCAGAAGACCTACAAACAGCCAGTGAATGTCTGAAGGATGCTTAACAACATAAACAGTCAGGAAAAACCCAAACCCAAACCAGCCGGACGGCACCAAGCCGAATGCAGAAACTGGAGGCCTCACGCATGCTGGTGGGGTGGACACAGTGCAGCGGTTCCTCTTACAGCCACAGAGTGGACCAGCATGTCTGCAGGCAGACACACGGTCAAAACAAAGGAAAACCTATCTACTCACAGACTTCTGGGTGATACTTATAGACAATCACCAAAAGGCAAAGATAGTTCAGA